TTAGATATCCTCGGGGATTTTATTTTGTTTCTCATGCGTCTCCATCATTATAGTCTAATCCGGATCCGCTTAAGGAAAATAAGACTTGGCGTTTGTTTTTATAGCCTCAGTGTCTTCTCTCACAAAAACTATTGATCGCTCGTTAGTGGTTATTTCTTTTTGCGATCTGGGTACCGAAAGAGTAACCGCTTCACGTACAATTTCTAGAACGCTATCGTGGCGACTTGATTATCTGCTATTCAGAATTATCTTAAATTACGCTGATCTGAGAGTTAGCCAATCATGAATTAAGATGTGCCAGTTTAGTGCTAATGGGTTGCAAAAATATCCTATGTCCAACCACTAGTTCCTAGCCACAACTTCAACACCTTTATGACGCGTGCATCTAACTTTGACAACAGGGTTTTATTTAAATCATAGATAATGAATGGCAAATTCAAGCGTTATTTTAGGTAATTATCATAGCTTTTTGATGTTACTAGTCGGTTGGTTATCTACCTCGGTAAGTGTGTTTAAAAAGCTATCTACTATTCCTTCTATGGATGATGTACGACCTAAATTATCTAATGACCGAAACATTGAAATGAAGCATTTTCCGTAACCGCAGAATAGCATTGACCGCCTAACGATAATAATCCCAGATCGTATGAGGTATATCTTGTATTCCGTCTACAGAGACACACAGTAATATCATTCGATTCTTGAATAGTTCCAGAAGAATAGATCTTGTTAAGAAAGAAATAAGGGTGAAAATTGATAATTAAGAAAACTCTGTAGAGTGCAGTTCAACTGTCTGGTTGTAATGAACTGAGAGTAGGATTGAGTCAGAGTGAGTACTAATTGATATTAAGTACTAAATTTATTCGTTAAAATATTTTCACATAATTTTCTAGGAAATTCTGTTTCTATATCTTTATTGTATATTAAAAAATCATTTGTGGTTTTATGGTAAATGGTATTAAGCAACTAAATCGATTGCGGAACTAAAACCAGTTTTTTATTTTTATTAATCTGATAATAGTTATGTTAAACGAATATTGTTTAAAATATCAAGTTAACTTTTTTATATCAATCTGCGTATTAGTCTACGGTAAACGTAATAAATGCATTCATTCCTATGATTGATGCATGTTAAAAATTGAGCACAATATTTATTTTAAACACTAATAACTCAGAGCATTATAATATTGACACCGTTATATGTATACATAAATGTTACACGGTCAACCGATGTTAGCCAGTTTCACCGCTATATATCAGAAGTCTGCTAAAGAACGCCTTAAATTCATTAGAACCATAATCCGCGTACTTTGTAATGCAACATGCGATAGGGTGCGATAAATTTGGGGTAATTAAAAAAAGTTTCAGTCTAAATATATTTTTGTAGAATTACGTATGTATATCATTTGGATTGTTCTTAACCTAATGTTAATTATTATTAAAGTATTTTGCCTTTGTTTTAAATTAAATAATAAATATCCACAATGTATTTCCTAAAACAAGTTTTTTGTTATAAATTTTTTTCTATGTATCTAACAAAGGATTGTGTGATATGAAATTATTAATTTACTTAAGTAGACAAGTCTGTATGAATGTTTAATATGATGAGTACAATACGCCCAGGTCCTATTGTATTTCGTCAAGTATTTGTTATACATAATGATTGATTTATTGTTCGTTTGCTTATTATTGAATTATAGTAACCACTGAAACTATTAATATCCTGCGGTTGACATTTTGCTACCGTATTCTCATATATACGTAAATAAAGATATATTGTTAATATTAATTTGGCATGTAATTGTATTTTGTATAGGTATTATAAGAGTATTTTTAAATGAAATCTGTTGATTGATTTATAACAGCTAGGTGTATAGATAAGATCTTGACGTCTGTATAATTTACCTGATGGAGATGAAGATTTACCTGATGGATTTTTAAAAGTTACGTAATATTTAAACTAAAAAAAGTATAAATATTTTTCGGAAATTTTTACAATTGAAAATTATTTTTCTTACATTTAAATATTAAATCCCTCTGAAGTTAATATATCGCTGCTATAACGACGTAGATATATTTTTTAATAATTAAATTAAATGGTATAATTATTTCTTATTTTGTTCTTACATTTATATATTTTTGGACTCTGTGCCATTTTTCTATAATAGGCAAATTTTTGGAAATATCGTTTAAATCTGGCTTACCAAAAAAAGTGAAAATGCATTTAATTGCTTATTTTGTAACTATTGGTGTTGTATGAGCTATAAGCTTAGTAACTTTTTTATATCTGGAATATTTGTAATTGCTTATAATTTTTCATATATTTTCGTTATATTTTTTTAATTTTCCTTCTGTTTGCGTATCACAGCATCAGATCAGTAAATGAAAGAATTAACTTTCATATCATTAAGAATAAGAGGTTTTTTATCTTTGTATTTTGTTACTCTCTTTTGTACTTTAACGGTTGTGATTTAATTTAAACATGTGGAGGGAAGTTAGACAACGTGCTCAACAGAGGGCAATTTTATAGACATTTACATAACTTGCAAGCCTTAAATAAAATATTGATAGTTTTGAACATAATGGGAACTCTTTCATTAATATCAGTGCATAATAAAATAAGTAAATTAATTTTCTCCATCTTTTCTTTAGCTTAAATTTCTTTATAACCAAAAAATATTTCCAAAATGACCACCCTAAGTTATATTTTGTAAATAGTGACAGAAACCAACTGGTTCGTGCTTAATTAAATGGACGAGTGTTTATAAATTGGCAATTTGGGTTAAGCGATATCACGCTGTCCTCAAACAACCCTTCTAATTTAGGAATAAGCCTATATATTATATATATACTATATATATATATATATATATATATATATATATATGTTTTGATTTGATCATATATATAACCTAACTCCCCTTTAGAAAATCATCTATATCGGTTATGACGTCAAATGGCCCGTATTATTTGTAGGGCATAGTAATTACATTTATTTTTTGGTTGTTGTTTAATTTAAAATTAATTATGTCTTCATTCGTGAATCGAACAACGAGAATCCTTTATTAGACTTTCAGCATTCTGTTCACGTGAGGCTACCTCATGTATTGAATCGGAAGGGGAGCCTTGTTCGGGAAAGGGGTGGTATAGGGGAAGGGAGGTGGTTACAATGTATGACTCAACCCCACAGAAAGAATGCCACAATAGTTCCCTTCCGGCATTTCAAAGCTTCTCTATTGGAGAGAAAAGTGGCTGTTAATATTTCTAAATCCATTTCTCCGTAACTTCATAATTTAGGTCGTAACTGCTATCGAGGTTCCTCGTAAATATTATGTATTGGGATTATCGTAATATAACCAGCTTTAAAAATGTATAAAAGAAATTCAAAATAGTTTGCTTCATACAAAATAAATGTCTATAACATATATTTATTGCTCTTTTTATAAGATAGACAATACTGTGTTTAGGTATTTTAAAATATTTTCACGATATTTCTGATGACGTGCAATAAGCGTGCTTCCTTAATTTCTCTTCGTATAAATTTTGACAAAAACCTCTCGAAGGCCAATGTTTCTTTAAACGATCAAATTTTTACCGACAAACATTATTAAAATTGAATAATTTATATAGAAACACAAAAAAATCGGACGTCCAATGATCTTTAACAACTAGAAACGACTATAACAACTTAATCGATTTCCTCTTTAATTCTATCCGCGTTTAGTTTGTATAGTTCTATGTTATCAGTACAGTGCCAATTCTAGAAAATCATAAATCTGTGATTTTCATTCTATACCGTCGAATAACTTTCACGTGAAGGTCGTTGACATATAATTGAATTATTTATGTATATGTCATATATAGCGATGGAATTGTCTTCAAAAAAAGTTATTTATTATATGTGAAACATTGTATGCTTTCTCTCGTACGTGGGTGTATGCGAATGCGCAGGTAATTGGATTTATTTCGAGATTATTATATGCCAATCGCATATAAATATATGTTCTGTTTATTTAAGACTACAAACATACCTGCATATGCCTGCTATAGTGTGTTTAAACATTTTTGGTGGCATCCGATTATTTAAATGTTCTATAAAGCATCATATGGCCTGTTTAATAGAACGAAAATGGCACTTTCATATAGTTTTAAGATATGGTTTTAATAAACTGTGGTTGTTTTTCTTGAATTTTCCACGCCAATTAAATTATTGACAGGCGAACACGACCCGTCGACCGTTACATTGTACGAACAAAACTCTGTAAATACACATAAATTATATTTAAATGAGTTATTGCTGCTCATTGTTGCTCATTATTAGTGTATCTGTGAAAAATTATGTTATTTGAATTTGTGAAGTGAAGCTGTATCATTTCCCAGTTCGGAGTCTCTGAAATATTCGTCAGTGAATTTACAATGGTGACGTCAGCTTGTCATAAAGATTTTCGTTAAAAATAAAGCGTCCCATGCCACGGACACGCTTCGTAAGTTTGCTTATCATAATGGGAACCATAAATACTCTTGTCTCCAACAAAAAATATTATCCGCTCTCAATTATATTATGTTAATACTTAATTGAGCATTACTATTCTCTTCTAAGTGAAATACTCTTTGCATAGTCGTGATACTTACATCAATTATCCAAAATCAACATCATATATAATTCTAGTAATATTTATATGTCTATCTTTACCTTTTTTTCTTTACATTAATCTTTATAGATATCGTAACCTACGTAAACCGCTAACGACCGGGTAACTGTGACGTTAGAATGTATAAAATCTAATTCTGTTAGATCATTATTATTTTGATGTCTTAATAACACGTTTAACAAGTCAGTTGTCGCTTCGAGTTCTCAGTGAAAGTGCAACGAAAACTCTAAGAGATGTCTCCCAGACGTGAGTGTGAGGTTTTTAAGGTTTTTCATGTGTGCTAAGACGTGTTGGGTGTGAACAGTAGTTTGTGGACTGTGTAACTGTGGGTTCGCTGGTCGAAGCGATATGTTAGCGTCCGCTGTTACATCGAATATGAGCAGGCATGCACTATCAGCCATGTTCCAGAAACGGCGATCTATTGACAGACCTCTTATTATGGTGAGTGATACCGATTTTAGAGATCTCTCTTAGGGCCTAAGTTCTTAGATTTGGCTTGGTTTTTACACCACGCGTTCACTGGATCCGGGGATTGATAAACCAAATATTATTACTTGAAGACACGATCAGGGCATGTCATAAGAGTATTTTGTATTGGAGTACTGCATGTATTAGAGTATTTTGTTACCAACAAAAATATTAGACTAGAAACTATATAATATATATTAAATGAAAATAAATTCATATAATCGTTGCTCCATAACAAATACTTTTCTCTAAACGCTACTTTAATAAATGTAAATGTATTGCGAGACTAATTAAGTTAGTGCTAATTCTTTCACAACACCTTTGATTTATTTCGTTTTAATTCTAACAGTATTTTTTTGGGTCGATTGTGAGTCGTAAGTAGTAATAGGCGTGATATTTTTGTCGGACACTTTATCTGAAATATGTACGCAAGTATTTACTTAAACGATAAGAGCACAACACATTGACGTCTCAACGAAAAAAATATCTACCAATGAAGAAATGTAGCTTTCTCTTGATAAAAATAAACATCCTGTTGAACCGATTGGTGTATTCGGCGTTTTTTTAAGAGATATCTTAAGATTTGTCCCGTGACAGTAGATCGTTTATCACCTATCTATGTTATATCTGATGATTTGATAATCTCTATACAATCTTGTCCCTTTTTATACAATCATGTGAAGAAATCGTATATAGTTCAAAATAGTGTAAGGTTAAATAAAAAGAAAGATTCGAAGTTAACTTTGCACATTCTAAAGTTAAAGCAATAGTTGATATTATACAGGGTGACTGGTGAATTACTATCGATACTTGAGGACGTGATATTTGACGATCATATATGACAAAATAAAAATTAATATAACATAAATATTAATAAACTTCTAAGAAAAGTTAAACAAAAGTTAAGTAATTAATTACGCATCGTGTGAACACCCTACAGATTAGGTATATACACACACACACACGCGTGCGGCGGCGTGGTGTTGTATCAGCACGCCGCCGCACGCGTCCACACTTGGAACACTTGGAACGTGTCCACACTTTATTTATTTATACGGAAATTTGGTCAAAAATTAAGTACCAATTTTTTTTGCATAATTCGAATGAGAATCATGTACCGAGTATTCTCCTTAAAGATTGATAGTAATTCACCAGTCACCCTGTACACTTGGTCTAAACACAAATTATGAAATATGTCATATTCGCGTTTGAGTTATTTTATTGTCTAAAACGACAATTATTTACAGAGAATTTCTCAGCATCTTTGAAACATGGATGGCCACTACCCATTTTTTTATTTGATCTTATAACTGCAATAGTAAATTAAATAAATTAATTAATTCACTTAATAACAATTCAATGAAATCAATAATAAATAAACGGATTTAAATTCATATCATATCATAATATTAAAAAGAATCAAAATAAATGTAAACTGTTACACGTGCTAGTAAACAGTTTTTTTTTCTCAACGTACAATTATTGCGATTAAGTTTTAAGATGCATTATCATCGCGTGGTTGAATCGGTTATGCTTTGTAAAAGTCACCTTTGCAATTTATGTAATGACTTGAGCGTTTTATTATTATTATGAATTTTAAATAATCTCAAAATGAAGGAGTTATTGCTTGATATGTATATTCTGTTATGTATTGTTTAAATGATTCAAAATATTTGACGAAGTCGATCAAAATCAACCCTATTTCTTTAGCCCTTAGGGTAGATGTGTATTAGGTGGAGGGAGAGGTGATTCGTACAGTTATTTGCTATATTATGTTGATCTTAGTTACGTAAACACTCCTTTAAGCCAGAGAATCTGTGCTCGGAAGTCGGAGGCCATTTAATTTGGTTTCCATAGAGCAGTGCGTCCCCTTCCTGATGCCTGTGGCAATTGTCATCCCTTCAACGACGAAAGTCTGTACACGCAATCCTTATATTCTTATTTTAATCCAATTAATTTTTCTCATATCTACGTAATTGTTCTTGCTTCAGGAAGCAACATCTACGGATATCTCATATTCTCTTCACTAAAGCCTATAAGGAACTGATTGTTCAAATAAAACTAATGATTTATATAAGGAAATATAATAATTTGCCTCATACATATGATTACGTATTCGTCAGTACACCGCAGAACGTCCTTCACACGTTACTCGTCATCTCTTGACATCTTTAAATAGACTTATAATTTATATACGTTTTTTATGTGCACACTGTACACTACGGGTACATCCTTGTATTTTATAACAACACTAGCTTTCCGCCCGCAGCTTCGCCCGCTTGGAGTTCGGTTATATCGCGTTTCCAAGAGAACTTTTCAAAAGTCTGGGATAAAAACTATCCTATGTTCTTTCTCAAGGTCAACTCTACCTCTGTATCAAATTTCATTATTATCAGTTTAGTGGTTTAGGCGTGACGGCGTAACAGACAGACAGAGTTACTTTCGCATTTATAATATTAGTTGGGATAAGTATGGTATGTAATATAAAATATATGTTTGTCGTCTGACATAATAAAGTTTGTTTGATAAACAAAAAAATTTTTTCATATAGTATATTATTTTTGTTTAACAAAAACGAACCGCATAATCCGACTTAAGTCTGATTTCGGTTTTGTTTTTACATTTGTACCTTTTTGTGTCCAAATAGTTTTTGTGAAGTCATGTAACGCTCTTCATCTTGACATCGTCATGTTAAAAGTCTTCTAAAACGTCCTTTTGTGTTTTGTAACCTTGTCTTAATTATAATGGACCTGCCTTAAGATGCTAATTGATTGTGGGTTTGTATAGCGTTAAAGGATTCTGGTTTTTACTCCACTGTTCATAATGAACAAGATTGCGTGGATTTCTGTGGAGAATATCTAATCGTCGTGACAAATAATTATCACATTTGTCTATTCTTGTACATTAAGTTCAATGTATGAATATTTTTAGATATGTTTAAATTGGTCTGAAAATATCCATAGTCACGTTTGAAATGTATCGGCGCTAATTATCTTAAAGTCTGAAAATGTTTAGTTGTTCCAAATATATATAAGAAATTACTACATATGTAAAAAGTCCCGGATTTAGGTCTTAGAGCAAATAGCAGGCGATGATGGTAAAAATTTTTCATGCATCGTCAGGCTTGGCAAAATTCAATGTCCTGTGTGATTATTATCTTTTTTCGTAATCCTCGATAATGGCAAATCCAAAGTCTTAAAACACTGATTTTTTTTTAATACGTAAGATTTTCGAAGTCTCTGTCGAAAAATGCATACCATGGGACTGGGAAAATTTAGTTTGAATGAATGTTATGAAATTGTTTATCTTGATAAAATTCTTATCGTTCGCATCAAATCAAACTTTTTTCTCTGATAGGATTATATTGATTTTATTCTCTATATTACGATATATGTGAAAAATGATACACTGTATATATATTAATATCCTATACAAGCCTTGTCCGTCCGTCCATCGCTCCCGTTACCAGGTCAGTAACTCTTATTCTCTTATGTATATATAAATGATATTGAATCTAAGTTTCTCTAAACATATTCTTAGTATACAACACACATATTTTAATCAATGTTCCGTTTGACCACTTTTTTGATAATAATAATTTACAGAAAAATTTCTTTTAATCTGTACTATGACGATGCTGACTGACCTATGTTATATATGTGTATATAAATATAATAATGTGTATATAAATGATATTGAATCTAAGTTTCTCCATACATATTCTTAGTATCCAACACATATTTTAATCAATGTTTCGTTTGACCACTATTTTGATAATAATTTCCAGAAAAACTTCTTTTAATCTGTACTATGACGATGCTGACTGACCTATATTATATAAATCAAGTAAATAAAATTATATTAATACATAATTTCTAAGTAACGGAAAAGTTAAATGTATAAAATATGATAATAGATATTAGGCTGATGAAGAAGGTAACGATTCATCTGAGACACACAATTGACCAGGATGGTCGTGTGGGAAGGTCTTATTTTAAAGTTTTTGTTTTTTAGTTACTACCACTTGGTATTTTTATAAGTTAACCCAGAGTTTAATGTCAATAGAGAATAAAATACGATATGAAGATGACTGTTGCGTTTGCCAAATAAAACTAAGTTTTTTTTATTTTCAAGCATACTTTGTTATCCATACCTCCCACATATGTTTCATTTACTCATTTATAATTACATTCACAATGCATTTTTTTAACGTTTTATAATACTTTTTTCGATCAACCTACGTATATCATTTACAATGCAATATCCACATTGCAAAATCATTTTTGTTACAATTTATTGTGAATAGGAATTAACATTATCGGCCTGTGAAAACTTTGATTGCGTTTACTCGTAACCAATTGATTTACAAGCGTTGTTTTGTGTACGCATTATAGGAATATTAATGTACTGAATACTATTCAGAACTAAGTTGAAGTCTTCTAACATATTGATATCAAATGTATTTATAGAAATTTACGGCTATGGGCCATGGGTACTGTATGGCGAACTTGATACTTGATACTTAATTGTCCATCAGCTTCTGTATATTGTCGGAGCTGTATACGTGTCCAAGAATAACCGATCGTTAATGTCATTCCGTATGTAACCCGTTGTGTATTGACATCGTTTGAAATACACTACAATTAATGACGTCAGCTGACCCACTTTTGTTTTTTTCTATGCGGTTTCTGCATAATTACCTATTTATTTATGTTTACAAAGCTCTTTGAGTAGCTTTAAACGCTTTTTGGAGGCTTAGGGACTTATTTGTAGAAATAAAAAACCTGACAAAGTATGCACGGAACCAGAATGTTTAATTTTTTGTATTATATGGTAGGTCTAAAATAATTTTTTTGTTGGTCTATTTTATTTGTCTCTATAAATGTTGTAAATACATCTGTAAAAGAATTCTTTTATCTAAAAAATCTTGGATATCCGATATACACTCCGATAATTAATGAGAAAGCAAAAAACATTTACAAACAAAAATAAAAGTTGGCGATGAAACTTTGTTAGCTGGTTTATCATAAAAATTCTGTACACTCGTACAAACAGCACAGACCAATGGTATAATTATTTATAAGGAAATATAACCCTAACTGTCATTATATAAGGTTTGTTTTGATGAAGTGTTTATTAGTTTAGCCGTTATACAATATTCCTGATATCATCTTGGATCGGTATAAGGCGTTTATTACAGCAATGATATTCATATAATATTAGACAAGGTGATACATACAACCAAACCAATACGTGACGTCACAAACTCAGTATTTATTTTATAAACAAGACTCTGTATATAATAAATATATACTCTTTTCAATGGATTTCATTATATCTATGTTTTTTTTGGTTCCAGAACCGTCCAGAGAAGTTATCTCTGACCAACCGTCCTCCGCCACCAGCGGCGATAGTCCCAAAGTCAGTTGATGGTCCACGACCTCCAGGGTGGAACGGTCAGCCCAGGAGACACGGCTCCAGCCGGTTCAACGTACACAACCACAACCAGGAACTCGTCAAACTACCCCCTATTAAAGGTAAGACTACATAACGTTGGTATAAACTGAAAGAACATTTCTCTGAATATAAAATTTTACGTATAAGAACGATGATTTGCATAGTCTTTTTTAAATATAATACTATATTTTGTAATAAACTAGCTGCTCATACAAACTACGTTCTGTCACAAGTAATACATTTATGACGATTTCACGTTTATTTTTTGTGTCATAAAAGCCTTTCGCAGGCCTAAAAGAACATACAAAAATAATATCGCAATAGGAGCCATTTTCACATTATGCGCTTAGCAACATTAATTTTTGATTAATTTTTATACGTATGTCAATTTTGTTATAACACTGCAAATTTTATTTCTTTCATCTCCGGATAATATATATAAAATTGCGAGATGTTTACAAAGAAATAGTTATCTTATTCCACGAAGCAGATTACTTTTACTATATTCAATTTTTATTTAAACACTAACAGTTTTCATTCCTATACGACGTCACACGATAGATTCGTTTAGACTGAAGTGTGTTTTTAAAACGACACAATATTTCCTGGTACCGGTGCTATACAATACGTGCATACAGCGCGTGAAAGAGCAAAAGCTGTTTGAAAGGCAGAGGAAGCGGAACAGGGTACAATGAGGAGGGGGATGGGGGGGGGGGGGGTTACGAACTACACTTAACAAATATGAGCAAGGGTACTCTGGGTTAATGGGAATGAAGATATAATACTACCATATAATATTATTCGTTAGTTCACATTTATATTAATGAGATATAAATTAGACACAACATTTGCTATGTTCATTGTATCAGTTGTTTCATTTTAAATGGCTTGTATCAATGAAAATTCATCTTTAAGTTAAGCCAAGATAAAAGAAAATAAATATTGTTTTACGTTAATTCAAGGTTACGTAGCTAATGGTGATAAAATTTACACTTATCACAATGGCAATGAAGATTTCCTCTCCATATTATCATTTTATTTCAATACTACTATCCTATATGGCATAAAAATGGAATTTTATAATTCTCATTTTATATATAGTCAAAAAGTATTATAAGTTAACAGAGGAATCATTTAAATGGCGTGACAAGAATCATGTCAGTAAAACAGGCCAGGTGCTCTGAAACTAGAAGTAGCTCCATTCAATCTAAAGCCAAAGGCTAACGAACTAAGACCCTCACGCTACTCCATACATTTCCTACCTTGATTCACGTCTGTTTGACTTAAAGAATCTCTTCAATGATTCCGTGGGTAATGTGCTGCGATTATTTTAATAAATGATTACAATAATATACATATATACAAGTCATTGTCTGATGCTATGACTTCAATAGTTTGTATTTAAATAAGTCTTCATCCTTATAAATCGAACATAATTTTCTATAACATAATAATAATCATCAATCTAATTCTAGTTCTTTCAGTATCAGAATAACTTTGAAAACTACATACATTCAATATTTTAATTTATAATTTAAGCCTAATATTTGCATTGTTATTTAATTTCTAATTTTAATTTAATGGTTAATTTTAATTTATAATTTAAGCATAACATTTGCATGCCTTAAGGTAGAATGTACTGGAGTCTGGAACTTATACTAGATTCTGTTATATGTACATATACACCTATATTCTGTACCTACATTCGGAGCAAATAAATATTATTATTATTATTAGGTGAGAAAGATTAAATATAAAATACCCATACATTGTAAAACTAAAAAACACAGCCCCGAGCGCGTTAAGGCTGTTCGACATAGGATAAGGTCATGTCTTAATTAAGATTAGACGCCCGATAAGCCGATACACGGAGTAACGTTACCGGCCCCGTGTTGAGAAAAAATATTTTACATTTGATTATATATATAAAGAAATTAAATAACTGTTTTATAATGTACGTTGAGTTTCATTTGCATAGCCCGTGAATGGAATATAAGAATAAATATGTATCGTCCTTTGATTTTCATTTTATGGACGTATTACTAGTTTTGTATATCAGACAAATGTTAAAAGTCTTAAAAAATAGATGTTTTTTCAAGTACTAATGTTTTATGTGAAGTATTTTCTTGCGTATACGATTTTTTATGCATCAAACAAAGATGTTTAAGCCGGTACTGTCAGCTAGATTATAATATTTGTTCAAAGATAACACCCGTGACCTTGATGGTTTGTGAAAGTTTGTTATTATAACACATTTACCGAGAACATGGAGAGTAAGTTACAGCATCGTCTCGATTTCTGGTCCAGATCTTAATTGAGTTTCTTTGGTGGCAACATTTTCCACCTGGGAATATTCTTCACATCATGAGAGCGTTTGCAAGAATGATATTATTTTGATTTAACCACGAATTACATATTTAAACGCTAATATACTTTTAGAGTGCAAATACATTTTCAATTTGGCGATTTTTTTTGTTTACTTTAGTTGTCATATATAGTTATAAAGAACCATTTAAAATGTCTGTATTTATATTGTTAGTGTCGCAACGTGAACCGTAAACATCTCTGACTGTATAAAATGGCCTAGTTTTGGCGACATCTTATGTAAATCAATACTAGAAGCCGGATGAAGTCGGACAACTTGTGCAGACGATTCATCTTAATATTAATTAAATTTAATATTAGAATATTCAACATCAATTAAGAAAATCTAAATTTATGTCTTTGATTTCAAAATAATACCGTTTAGTTTTGTTTTTATGGAAAATTATCGAAGATAAATATTCGCGTAAAGTCGTAGGAAAGCCGCTTGTATATAAATCTTTGTAAAGTAAAATATCTCAGAAGACGCACTGCGAGATAAAATTGATAAGACAACAGTGAAATTCCTTCGAGAATAAGAATTAACTTGTCGAGTTAGAACGTTTCACACTATTTACTCATAGAAGTTAAATAGATAATAGAATTTGTTAATAGTAACAAAAATGTCTTCTTGAAATGAAAAACATTGCTTTGTCTGTCCAATGTAAAAAACAATTTAAAATATCATACAATCAAGTTAAGTTATCAAGATTCCTGAACTGTGAAATATTATGTTGACATTTCTTCTGTTGAGGGAAACTAATTATAGTTTATTATGAGGCTTTCAAAGAAAATTTATATCAGACGACCCGAGTCACAACAACTAATGACCAAGTTGGATTCAACATTTATCGATATCTTTATATTTGATTTAATATCTGTAAATATATACTGAAATTAACTTTCATTTCTGTATATCGTTCTGTTTATAATCTTCGCTGCTCAAGGTTTCGGTATTTCTTTTTAAGGACTTCTAAAGAGACTTAATATATGAATGAAATAGATTCAGCTAGATGTACTCAAATATCAAGAAGATATATTCTTTAATCCGAAAAACTCTGAACATGTAAAACAAAAGTTAGCGAAAGCATTATATCTATGTGTATGGCTGGATATTTTTTCCGTTGTAACAAACGTGTTAAAAACATGCATATAACACTACCATACTTGATTAATTCAGCATTACATGTATAGTATTTTTTTTTATATAAACTATAAATACATTATATAAGACTACCTCAGTAACTCACTTTAGTACTCTGTACCCAATTTGTATAGAATGCTTTTCTACCCTATACGCTGATGTAACTAATTTGTATAGAATCCTTTTTGCATGAGTCAGGATATGACAAGCCCATAGCGATCGATAGTTTAATCAAAGGGGAAGTGTACGTCTGCCTCTGCCACAGGAATTTGCCCCTCAGACTTCCCCCATAGATACACCCAAACAAACTTTGGAGCAAGACGTTTTCCATAAATTTTCCTCCTAACTTGCTTAAATTCAACTCGCGTATTGCGTTCCCGTGGTTTACTGGTTTTCTTTGCCAATTTTTTCCAAACAATATTATTGAGTTAAATCTGTACATATTGTAAAATTTCTTCTATTTCCATTGCATGGTCTATATTTATCACGTAGAATCTTTCATCTGTATAATCGCTGTTCCAGCAAATGATCAAATGTTCTTTGAATGGAATTCCTATGATGGATGCTTCTGCTCTCATCCGACGGATATGATCTATGTTCACTATATACATCTTTTCTTACTATTTTACACATCCTTTGAAATTCTATTTTATATTTCCATATAAGGTACCTCCCATGGAAATAAATTGAAGCACTCTGCAATAAAAATTTACCTAAATCAATATTAACAAATTAAGTTTTTATCTCGACATTGTTTTGAATAAAAACTAATTCCAGACTAATTAAAGATAAGATAAAATAAGATTTCCTTTATCAGTTATTATCTTTTTGACGATATTTGATGATATGGAAACGAGTTTTCATTGGTCATTTATTCCGTGAGTTACAGTTTCTCGTAGGATATTAATTATTGTGAATGGCATGAAAATTTACATTAGCCAGATGTTAATTTTAGTCGACGTGTCGATGTGTAAACAAATAATTATATCTAGCTCATATGTATGAATGTTGCTTTGACCTGGAGACTAAGGCCCGCCTTTGATACGTGAGGGTGCGGGTTCGAATCTTAACAAGTACCAATGTAATTATCCTGAGTTATATGTATGTACTTTTAAAGAATATTTAGCCACCACTGACACGGCAAAGGAAAACATTGCGAGGAAACTTGGATTTATAATTTCAAATTATAAGCTCGAATTCGTGATTAATGCTCTAACGTTTTCCATGTGAGAGGCCTTTGCCCATTAGGTGGCACCGATACCCAATGACGATGACATGTATGAAATATATCTATTCTATAACAGTTCATAGTCTGACATTTTTTAGTCGATTTTTTTTAAGCTATGAAAAGTGATGTTAAATTAAATTATCTCAGACTGAAAATTTCAACTTACATTCCACATTTAAAAAAGCATCACCAAATATTTTCTACATTTTTCCATAAAAAGATTTCCTCTCTAATAAGTTTTCCTACGAATCCTTTTATGGAAGTTCTGATTTTAATAAAGACAACTCTCTGGTAAAAGAAGAATAAAACAGGAAACTTGTAAAATTTATTGCAAAACTTTATTATTTATATAGTGCTTAGCATTAATGCAAGGTTTTTTTGTTCAGGCAGTTATATGCTATTTGTGTTTCTAGATTCAATATTAGTAATTAATTTAATTAAACCCAAAAGTAACGCTCCCTTGTTAATATAACATGATATTACATCACACTTATTTTATTTAATTTATCAATCTTTGTGTGATATTCATTATCAGATCTACAATATTAAGTTTAGAGTTCCCTAGTCAGCCTAAGCTTTTTAAGGTTTTAGGTTTTACTTTCGTAAAAGTTAAGGAATTCCTTGAATCGCGGGTTGCATACAGCACCGATGTCGAGGGTGCCTTCTCCGTGGGGGGTGAGGGGGTGTGCGCGCGCACCGGGGCGGTGGTGAGCGGTGAGCGGCGTCAGTCCGGTCCCGGCGCCGCCGGCCTCCGCTCGGATGCCGCTGCCGGCCGCCGCCTGCCATGGTCCACGCAGGGCCGGCCGCTCGCGCGCCCTCCCGCGCTATGTTCGCCGCCGCTGAGACGAAGCCGCGTCGCGCCGTCTCGCCGCTCGGTATACCGAAGTCGCCTTCGTTTCACTCGGGCCTGGACCTGGTCGCCAACCAGGGTGCCAAGCGTTCCGAGAGCGTGTCTGACGTCGCACGTGCGTTCCGCTTCGCTCTGTTCGGTATGGAGGGCCAGCCGCAGAAGGCGCCCTCGCCGCCCGACGCGCGGTCACCGCCGCCCCCCGTCGTCGCAGCCGTTACTGTCGCAGTGTCACCGGAGCGCCCTCCGATACTTAATGCTGACAAAGAGAGTTTAATGGTACAACTGCCGCTGCTCAAAGGTTCGCCTGAAATATATCTTCGTATCGTTAAGTTCAAGCCGATTGGAAAAACTTTTCTAGTATTACAATTATCAAAAAGGGCAGAAAATCACATTCAGTATAATGTTTCACGGTTAAATAACGCATTAATAATATTAATAGTCTTAATCGTTCTCCAGCCGATGTTAAATCTTAAAGAAATAACCTGTATTGAACTTGGCAAATGGCGAGAACGCCGCGGAAATATATCGACCGATAGCTGGCCGGCAGTTAGCGGCTACATGTACCTATGGTATGTTCAAGGGATATAGAATAAAACGTCCTTGCCATGTGAATCACTTGTGAATTAGCTCTGTCCACTATAAAACACATAGGAATAATCTTATTACTATTCGTTATCGCCTCTATAGATGTGTTTAACATCTTGGTCGATATCACGTGGCTGTCTATTTTAGTACGAGTTGTTTGGAATTAATTTTACAGTGTATAACATGAACAAATATTTATAGAGTGGTTTAAATGGAAACCGTATAAGGTATCGCAACAAATGCTCGCAGCCTAAGGCGAACTCTGTCACCATTCATAAAAATAAAACGCCTTACTGTAAAATGTAATACGACGATACATTGTTTTTAATCTTACCAAAAATATATTCAAAATAATTCTATATACTCAATTCAATTCTATTTATACATTATGTCTTAGTTATATAGGAACAAATATATAAAATTTAGAGAATCTTAGAAAATTACATTTCCCCGTTGGAAGGTTATACATTATTAAAATTAATAGATCACACTAGATATATAGATATATAGACACACATAGATCACTGAATGATTCCACCAGGTCCTTTGTGGAGTCTACAACAAGAACTCCTATTTTCTTCGTAATAAGCTTCATCATCATAGTTGGACTATTTCCTTCTTTGATCTTCTCGACTTTTCAAATACAAGTATCTATAGCATCGATGGTCTAGGAAATTTAGTACACATATATTCAGTATTTATAGTGCTTATACATATATTGACAGTCTTTCTTTCGACACTTATTTTCCTCCTCTTCACTATCATTTGATGTCATATCAAAAGTATCATATGTCATAGTACATAAAGTCTTAAATATGTTTTCTTCGCTACATCAACTAAAACGTGTTGTAGATTTTTTCTTATTCACTTTATTTCTCATATCGTTTTTGTTTTTATTAAGCTTCTCCCATTTTCCAAATTCTTTTCCCTTTCCCCAGCTCCTCTCTTTATGTGATAGTGCTTTTATAAAATAAAACATATGAGAGAATTCTTTCGTCTGTCTCTGAGCTTTATTTGGGCGTTGGCCAAAACAAAGTTCTTTTAAAGGCCTTCTGAATATATTACAAACATAGCTTTAGACACTTTCTTAATATTGCATGTGCTATCCATTTTTCTTAATATTTCTGTTTCGTAAAATTTCATATTTCAAATATATCTTAAGTATGGATCAATTCAAGCTTAGAGAAGACTAACCAGAGATTAGAATTTTTCTAATTCAATATATTTCCATTTGGTGTCATAAGAACAGTTCAGGCGTATAATCTTTTGCTAGAAAGATTTAGGAGAAGATGATTTTTGTAATCTCGAGAGAATCTGAAAATATTTGCATACAAAATAGAATTGAAACGGAAGGTCGTGATGAAAGTCTTGGAAACACCTGTTAAGGTTAATGTTCCTTAACCGAATTGACATAAATATTTGCCAGCGTCATTTCGTCCTACATCAAATAAAAACGTTTTTCCTTTTGGACATTTTTTGTTAGTGAGTGAAAACTGTTGCATCATAATAACCAGGGTGCTTTAAGAGCCGATTAAAATCATCCTTACTTTTCAGGAGAACTATTCTGTAGTTAATACCGGGGCCGTAGTGCTGACCTTACCTCATCTTATTCCAATAGGTTACACATTAAAACTTATGTTACAATAAGTAATGTTATGTTTATACATAGCATTACTTATTATAACCAAAAAAAAATGGATTAAAAGTTTGGTATTAATTAAAAAACATACTTTAAAGATCTACGTTCACACGTAATTTGTTAAAAATATTAATATAAAGGCAAAACCTATGAAAACTTAACAATTAATATCTATATAATCTTAATAGCTATTCATCTTAACAATTAGTTACTTCTCCATAAGCAAAACAAACTGATGTATCATTGGCGCCATAAAAACTGTTCAATTAGAATTAATAAGGGCTTCGGGTCAATAAGAGTATTGTTGTGACAATGTTATTTCTGTCTATAGGATACATTTATAGTAAGAATTAATATATATTTTTTTTTGTATACGGTAGTCCATACGGGAAAGGTTAAACTTATAGTACGATCGACTTTCGCATATCCAGGTACTAGGTAGGTAGGACATCAGTTTTCGCTTTAATTTTGCAAGAAATCAGTAAGATTCATTACAATCCAATATATATTGACGAAACAATTATTTTAGTATATTTTTTGAACCACGAAAGCAGCTCTGGAATTCGAACGAAGACACCATCGGATCCTTTTTTTAACAGAGTTTTGAGAAAATTACTATACATTTGTTTTTGTTATAGCATCACGCAATTGTATTCATACTATTGATCAGCTGTTTGTAAATCAGCTGATTTATAATATGACAGTTAATAAACCCGCATTCATTCATACGTTCATGACGTAATTGATAATTATCTTTGATCATCACGTATCGTACTTTCAAATTAAATGAAAACATATCAAATCACCTTCGAATTTGTACTCAGATGCACCGGCGGGTGAGAGAGAACAGTTGTTCGTTCAGAAGCTGCGTCAATGCTGCCTGTTGTTCGACTTCGCTGACGAGCCTCTGTCGGACCTCAAGTGGAAGGAGGTGAAGAGGGCCGCGCTGCTCGAGATGGTGGAGTACGTCACCTCGCAGCGCGGCGTCATCACAGAGGCTATATACCCTGAAGCTGTTAATATGGTATGTATTGACAACTAAACTTAATGTGTGCGTGCGTGTTAGAGTGACTGTCGTTAATACATAATGTATGTATGTGTGTGTACATATGAAATTATCTTTTTTGGTTGCGTATAAATTCTGACCTATAGCAGAGAAATAGTTAATATTGACTGCACGTCAACATATTACCATTAGGAAGTACGTTTATTAAACTATGTTTTTTAATATTTTTATGTCGCCACATAGTTATAATCTCGTAATGAATTACTAGTTGATATTATTATTAATACTGTATTAATTTTCGTAATATATTTAATTAATGATTCCAATGATTAATGGCATACGATTTTCTATGATGTACCTATATTACATATATGTATATCCATAACTCTGTATATGTCCACAGTTGTCAAAACAAGTTTAATATAAGTATAAAATGTATTAAAAACTGTCTTCGGCTAATTGTTTTGGGTCACATCATTGACGTTCTCCATTCAAGCGACGTCGGCTTTGACCTATATATAAAGTTTATTACCAAAATCTGTGATACCGGCCGTAATACTGGATTTATATTCAAACTAATTCTGATATATTAAGGTCAATGATTCGTATGGGATTTAAAAATATATTTATACTTAATGTTTGTGTATATATATTTTTGAAATATGTTTAATTTTATTGAGAGTTTTTACTTTATTTTTCTTTTTAATAACAACATAACATATAGTATGCTTTATATGTTATATACAACGTACATATTTTGTAAGTAACATATATATACATATATGTCATTTCAATATTATATTTCTTCATATAAAACATTTGTGTCTTTTTTAGTATTAATTTGAGTCCAAGGATTTCAAAGAAACATTTTTTATTTTAAAATATACATAGTTGCATTAACGAAGAAGTAAATAGTCGATTATTCAGTATTTTTTCTATGATAAATAGATTTTCAAATACATCCAAGTAAAATCTCCCGTATATCTTGGTCCGTATACGCGGATCTCGACAGCAAATATCCGTATTCAAATCCGATACCGCGGATTTAATTTATCTTCTATCTTCTATATATATAAAAATGGATTGCTGTTCCTTAGTCTCGCTAAAACTCGAGAACAGCTGAACGGATTTGTCTTATCTTAGTCTTGAAATGTTCGTGGAGGTTCAGGGAAGGTATAAAAGCTGAAAAAAAAATATTCGTTACTGAGAAAACCATAAAAACAGCCCTTTTCTATTTCCCATACAAACGTTCTTTTTAACATAAGATTTGACATCTAACTAATATGTCAATCATTCTGTCGCACTTCAAAACACGGAGATTTATGGCTTACAGGTAAACTCCAAAAATATAAATAAAGAAACGTAATAGATATTTCTTGATTATAGGGCGATACGAAGTTCGCCAGGTCTTCTAGTATTTAATAAAATTAGTGTTAAATTATATATCAATTGGAACAGTTCGCGATCAATCTGTTCCGTACCCTGCCGCCTTCTTCGAATCCGAATGGAGCGGAGTTCGACCCTGAAGAGGACGAGCCCACGCTGGAGGCGGCCTGGCCACACTTACAGCTGGTCTACGAGCTGTTCCTCAGGCTGTTGGAGTCACCGGACTTCCAGCCGAACATCGCCAAGAAATACATGGACCAGAAGTTCGTTTTACAGGTCAGCTTATGATGGTTACAGCTGTTAGATAGATATATCCTTACTAATATTATAAATGCGAAAGTAACTCTGTCTGTCTATTTGTTATGCTTTCACGTCTAAACCACTGAACTGATTTAAATGAAATTTGGTACAGACATAGAGTTGACCTTGAGAAAGAACAGGATAGTTTTTATACCAGACTTTTGAAAGGTTCCTATGGAAACGCGATATAACAGAATTACACGCGGGCGAAGCAGCGGGGGAAAGCTAGTAAAAAATATACATAAGACACGTAGGAACCTGTCTTTAAATAGGTACCAAAAAGTCTGGATACTTTATAGAATGTTTCCTTTGTAATTAGATCGATGTCTTTTTTCTGTAAATACAGTGTAAACTCTATATAACGACACTCGATTTAACGACAAACTCTCTAAAGCGTCGAAATCATTTGACTTTGGTTGGTTTAGCTTGTCTACCATACAATGGTACACTCTACATAGCGGCAGCGGCACAGGCACTCAATAACGACAACAATTAAGTAATAAAAAGTACCTTTTAAGTTGCTAAAATTAGTAAAAACTGTGCAGCTGCGTACGTTTCTTTGTCGCTTTGTTATCCTAGCCCGCAATAAACTCGACTGTCCCTATCATGCATACCGAACTTTCTAAGAAATTCGTTGTTTTGTTTACAATTACAAATTGCTTAAACGTGTCGACGGTTTTTGACCATAAGTAGGAGTCTTGTATTACCTATACGTTAACATAAAAAGTTGCTCACAAAATCTCAAACTATAACATTCTTTTTTATGTACATAAGTACTAACACTAGTCTGAAATAAACTATGTCTTTTTCTAATCCTGATTTTTCTTCTTTCTATTTAACGGCAACTCTCTATAACGCACTAAAATGCACGGTCCCTTCAGTGTCGTTATATAGAGTTTACACTGTATATACATATTTACAAACATTTAACTCTACGCCCACACGTTAAGTCGTCGACGTTCCTATGAATATTTGGTTAAGTCATAAAATCAATATGTCAGGAAGGCCGTCCTTGACCGTCAAGCTAACCGGTTTATGGGTTTTTTGTTCAGTCCACTATTTAATACATAGTGTCCTAATAGTGGTTCTGAATTCTGATGCTGAATTGTTTCCAAGTATTAGATGCTGAAAATTTATTATATCACTATTTTAGTTCTGACATGAAAAACTAATTTGTTGTAGTTAATTTTATCATTTTTATATTTATTTTAAAACCATGGACAACTTTCCACAACAAAATTTATGAATATATAATATTTGTTTGTAATATATACTTACAAAGAAATTGCTACTCAGCTGAAAAAGTAAGTTCTCTTATTATTATGAATAATAAAATACTTTTAGTTTTAACTTCACTAATTTAAAATACAAGTACATATGTACATAATTCTCATATTTTATTAAATGTAACAAGGACAACGAAACAAGATAAAAAATGTAAACAAACAGTTGCATAATCTTAGTCATTAACAAGTTTATTGTCTAATAAAAAGTCATCTAGAGCTCGCACGAGTAAGTCATATTATATATTCATAATAATTTTCTATTGTTAAAGGTCGTTATATACTATTGCTACATTTTCTATTGTATATAACATAACATAACTTCCGTGTAACTTAAACGACATATTTATGTACAGCCATTGTCAACTTCACAAGTATGTTTGTTTACAAAACTTATTGCCTTTCAATGTCTACCGTTTGCTGGTAAATTGTTTTATTTATAACTAGTTTTTGTCCCTGACTTTGTCCGCGTGACCTTCGGAATAGTGCTAGAAAAAATATATATAAAAATTATTGAAACAATAGTTACGGTAACCAATAGGGAGTGACAACGACGTGTCACGTGACTTCATGCAAATACAACACTTCTGCTGTCTTCCCGCGAAAAGTACTCGGAGTTTTGGGATGAATTATGGCCCATATCTTATTCTGATGTCTAAATAACATGTCCGTAAAGTTCCATTAAAATTTGTATAGCAGTTTCTGCGTGAAAAAGTAACAAACATCCATACGTCCCCACAAACTTGATCTTTCATAATATTGATAGGATTACTGTGTTTTGATTTCTGTATGAAGTGTCTATTTAAATTGGTCTACTTTAAACCTTATTCTGTATCAAATTATTTGCTCTATGGAGTTATTACTCCGATGTTATATAGATAGTTGGTCTTTTCTATCGGATGTCCTTGTTGACGGACGTCAGGCTCAAATAGATTTATTACTACGGTGCGAGCAACCGATGACATTGGCGTGACCTTCATAGATGTTCATATAATATTATATTTTTAAAAGAATTATAAATAATGTTAGTACTGCTCATACATTTATTGCAATTATTTATTCATAGATGGCGACACATGTCGGTGGTGTCACGTTTATTAATTTATTTAATTGCTTTTTTATTTTAGTGCTGCCATATTGCTGATATGTTTTCAATAATATATAATGATTTTTTTTAATTTCATTTTCAGTTACTAGAACTATTTGACACAGAAGATCCGAGGGAGCGGGATTTCCTCAAAACAACACTACATAGAATATACGGAAAATTTTTAGTACTACGAGCGTATATTAGAAAACAAATTAACAATGTGTTTTACAGGTGAGTGTACTAATATTTATAAATCTGTACCCTTAGTACTAGTCTCCATCACGCGTGGCTACATTTTTTACAGTATCCAATTATTTCATTCATATATAGGCACATAGTAGTATCAATACAGTTATAAAACCTCGAAACTATTCGTATAAAGTTAAAACTGCTTACTTGTATTAAGGTTGTTTGTGCTACAGCGATATCGATTTAATCAATCGAAAAGTTACGAACGAATGCGAAACTTTTTAATTGAAGCGTTATTTGATCCGTTATTCAGTCTCTGCTTTCACAATAATACAATACATCAGTTTCGTGATTGGTATGAAATACATACACATATTTCATATATGAAAAATATTTCTATAGAATAATTCGGCTTGAAATGCCCCGCGACTAATGAATGAATTGGTATTTTTATAGCATTCCAAAAGATTCCATTCCGTCCACTCTGTGAAATTCATCTGGCGATCTTGTATTTTTCCATACATTAACACTGAATTCGTAACATAACGGTTATAGTGTTAATATATGTGATCTTAGATTTATATTAAACATAAATTTCTTTATTAATTTCGTTTTATAATAAACACAAGCTATTTACAGCGGATTTGTTCACGTAAATGTTTGACTTATTTTTAAAGTGTTCTATTAAAGAATTAATTGGTAAGAGTAGAAGTTTAGTAGATGATATTTGAAATTATTCCGAAGTAAAAGCGTTCAATATTCATCCTTAATATTTTGTCCCCAGCTAACGAAACGTGATGAATCCATGCAAAAATTATTTCTCTAACAGTGAATGAATTTAACTAGTAGAACTAGTTCTAAAGATTTAAAATTGTTTAACAAACAATAAGACAAAGATCTCATAAAATAGTATAGTATAGTATAGATTGAAACACTCTTTATATACAGGGTGACTGGTGAATTACTATCAATATTTAAGGAGAATACTCGGTACATGATTCTCATTCGAATTATGTAAAAAAAATAGACACTTAATTTTTTACAAAATTTCCGTATAAATAAATAAAGTGTTGACACGTTCCAAGTGTTCCAAGTGTGGACGCGTGCGGCGGCGTGCTGATACAACAACACGCCGCCGCGCGCGTATGTGTGAGTGTGTGTGTATACCTAATCTGTAGGGTGTTCACACGATGCGTAATTAATTACATAACTTTTGGTTAACTTTACTTAGAAGTTTATTAATATTTATGTTATATTAATTTTTATTTTGTCATATATGATCGTCAAATATCACGTCCTCAAGTATCGATAGTAATTCACCAGTCACCCTGTATAGCTTGGTGTTTTGAATGATCATTAAATCACATAAAAATCTCTTCAAACAAAAATATACCCAATTCAATATAATAGTATGAATAATTATTATACTGTGGATAGAATACAGATTATGAAATTAATAATTCAGCTAACATGTTTATAAATTAATATTCACTGTAATAAATAAATAATATTTAGTTTCTTAATCCCGTAAAAAATATGCTTTAAACTATTTTTTTCCTTAGACGCGTTAGTATGTATTCGTTCATTCACTCATGTTCTATAATCTCCATATCATATAATATGTATGTAAATTTATTTGTTCCAGGTTTATATACGAAACGGAGCACCACAACGGTATAGCTGAGCTGTTAGAAATCCTCGGCAGCATCATCAATGGGTTCGCTCTGCCGCTGAAGGAAGAGCACAAGCTGTTCCTACTTAGAGTTAGTACATCCCGCTCACAACACATAACTTAGAAAGAGATGGAACATGTCTTTTTATATTCATAAGTTAGAAAGAGACGGAATGATTTCATATACATAGAATTAATTGTTCTAGAAGTCAGTAGTCAGTAGTTAGTCAGTGGTAGCCTAGTGATTAAAAGGCCCGCCATTCATGCATGAGGGCGCGGGTTTGATCCTGGCAAGTACCAATATGATTTTTCCGAATCATATGTACTTTCTATTTTCTAAGAGTATTTAGACATTACTGATTAATGCATTCCCTAAAAGGGGTTGATGTCAGACAGGCTGCCAGTCGTAAAAACAATTTACAACATGTAAGGCAGACCCTGGCTTATGCTCGGAAATTGCCACGTAGAAGAAGAAATTGTTCTAGAAGTTTCATTTCTGAATGAATAAGAAAAGACGAAAGTTTTTAAATTCATTTGTATTCGCCCTGTATGTATCATTAATATGGATTTTTGTGCATAACTAGCGATTTTTGTCATCTTAGGAGTATAAATTATTTGTTAAAGAGGCATATTTATAGTCTGTTAAAACGATAGATAGTAGTTAAACAAATCTATTGATTGTGTCACGTGTATCCTATGTCTTAACTACATTATTGTTAATTTTTGCATGAAATAAGATAAACATACATATGTACATCCTCACAAAATTTCCTATACATAATTTTAGTAGGATAGAAAGTGACAATCTATTAACACTTATATATGTATCCAGGTGCTACTTCCTCTACACAAGGTGAAGTCTCTGTCAGTGTATCACCCACAGCTGGCTTACTGTGTGGTTCAGTTCCTAGAGAAGGATCCCTCGCTCACACAACCCGTCGTCAGGTTTGTTGTATATATATTGTAATGTTGGTTACATATTTGACAACCAAAACAACCAACGGCAACCAGCCCTAAGGTTTAATGGCTATATAGGAGTGTCAGCTCGTCTGTCTCCATACATTGTAATATATATCTCAATAAGTTATTAAATCAAAGGCTACTGTGAAATTTAATTGACTGTGTAATCACTACAATGAACATATTTTACTGTTCGCTTCAATTCTTCAAGGTACCAGTATATATATATTTATGTAGCACAAACAGCTAAACATACTTGTTTGTGATTTTTAATATAAACAGGATCTAGTTTGATGTGCCCTTTTTGTAAATATTGGCGCAATAAAAATTCTTATATATTAACATGTTTTATAAATGACATTTTCATATACTATTAAAAGTAAGATAGACAACTAAGTAACACCCTGTATACCAACATCAACAGGGCGTTGTTGAAGTACTGGCCAAAGACTCACTCCCCCAAAGAAGTGATGTTCCTCAATGAAATGGAGGAGATATTGGATGTGATAGAACCAGCTGAGTTCCAGAAGGTCATGGACCCACTGTTCAGACAACTGGCCAAGTGTGTCTCCAGCCCACACTTCCAGGTTAAACCTTGATATTATACTATATATATATTATACTATACAGGTGTTGGCTTGGTTTTGAATGTTTGGATAGGGAAATGGGGAGGGGGTGTTATACAATAATAACACTGATATGATAAAGTTTTTCTTTGTGTTTAAGTAACATAATAAAATATCCAAGAAATTATTAATCATGACAAAGACAAATTATCTTAATTCATACCATTTACTAATACTAATAATATAATTCCCATACAAGGTGGCGGAACGAGCTCTTTACTACTGGAACAACGAGTACATAATGTCCCTGATATCTGACAACACGAGTCACATCCTGCCGATAATGTTCCCGTCTCTGTACCGCAACACAAAGAGCCACTGGAACAAGACAATCCACGGGCTGGTGTATAACGCGCTCAAACTGTTCATGGAGATGAACCAAAAGCTGTTCGACGAGTGCACGCAGCAGTATAAACAGGAAAAACAAAAGTGAGATTTATTTTAACGCACTTTAAGCTTTAAATGCTGTAACTTACGAGCTCTTACTTTGTGACGTCACTGAGCTCCCAGATCAAATAAAACATAAATATTATCTTTGTATTACAGTCATGCAAGAAATTAATATGTAGCATTATCCCTACTAATATTATAAATGCGAAAGTAACTCTGTCTGTCTGTCTGTCTGTCTGTCTGTCTGTCTGTCTGTCTGTCTGTCTGTCTGTCTGTCTGCTACGCTTTCACGCCTAAACCACTGAACTGATTTTAATGAAATTCGGTACAGAGATAGAGTTGACCTTGAGAAAGAACATAGGATAGTTTTTATCCCAGACTTTTGAAAGGTTCTCTTGGAAACGCGATATAACCGAACTCCACGCGGCGAAGCTGCGGGCGGAAAGCTAGTTCTTTAATAATAATAGTAAGTTTAAGTACTTTCAATGTCATTTAAAGCAACACGGAAAAATGATTCAGTTGTTCTCTATGAATGCATTTGCAGTTGAGTCTATACTATGTACTTTAAAGAAATTTCTATAACATAAACTTCAGTTTTTATATCATTTGAAGCATTTTGAATATAGTTTTCTCAATTAAATTTTAAACATTTTTTTTCTGTTGTTCTACTTTTAAATACTTCTTTTTCAAGAACACAGCTTCTTTTCATAGCCTCTGTGTCTTAATTTATTAAAAACTGTGTGTAGTACTGTTAAAGATCACAATAACTGGAAGGCTGCGATAGTGGCGGCCGGTTAAAACTGATTCTATGTAATTATGATAGATGGCACCTGTGCTGAATCATAAACCGAATAGAATAATCATAAGTGTCTGTCAAAACTCACATTAAATTATATTTGATTTAAAGTATATAACTATGCATTTAACAGTTGATTTCTTTGTTTTATGTACAAAATGTGCAGTTGTTTATTCTCACGCCACTGATTCTATGACATATTTGAAAATTATAAATCTCTCATTTGGAGATAATTATTATAAACATCAATTTTTGGGTGAAAAGCTAATGTTATATAATATATGCTTGTTTCAGGGAGCGAGAACGTCTCCAGCAGCGTGAGGAGCTGTGGCAGAAGCTGGAGGCGCGCGCTGCGACGAGAGCGGCACAACTGAATGACACAGAAGTATAAATACCTCTAATATATTATACTGACTATATGGAAATTAATAAAATTAATGTTGATTATGGTCCTTTACTTCATTATTTCAAGGTCAGTTGCATGAGGGCCTAAAATATTCATTACTAAATAAATATATTCCTGACAACAAATTACTTTAGTGACACGATCATATATTGAACACTAATTGTATGTTCCAGCCTCGAAAGCAGAATTACAACGCCAGCAAGCCCCTACTAAGGAAGAAGTCCGAGTTACCGGCGGACGTGACGACAGCCCGAGCGCTCGCCGACCACACGAGACCCGCCGCCTTCCTCACCACGCCGCCTGACGCTGACGGCTGCTAGCGACCAGCGACCTCTACCACGGAACGTTACAGTGGCGGCTGCTAGCGACCGGCGACCTCTACCACGGAACGTTACAGTGGCGGCTGCTAGCGACCGGCGACCTCTACCACGGAACGTTACAGTGGCGGCTGCTAGCGACCGGCGACCTCTACCACGGAACGTTACAGTGGCGGCTGCTAGCGACCGGCGACCTCTACCACGGAACGTTAATAGAGGTTGCTAGCTGCGGGCCCGTGTGTGACCCTCCACCGACGGGATCAGTGCGACTCTCGACCTTATATCGTGCGCTGGAGTGCTATTATCCCTCGCGCGACCTCCGCGACTGTGAACTCACCCGTTCCTCTGAGAGATTTTGATATGCATTTAAATCTACTTAGCGTTGTATGGGATCGCCCGCGCGGTGTGACGGGATGTATTTATAAATATAGTATAACAAATTATCGCCATAAGGCCTACGGGATGGTGTTCTTTAAAGCGGAACATTACTAACGGATTATACAGCATGTTTATATTTCGGTTTTAAAGAACATGATCTACAATCTGTCGCCATTAGTATGTCTTAATGTTAAGTAGTCAGCGCACCGCTTTAGACTCGTCTGGACACAAACTTGAAGCTACTAACTCCATGATGTTATCGCCCACCATTTATTTGTATATAGTTTTAGATCACCTCGTTCAATACGTCGTTTACGGTGCGGGAATCTACACAGGATTCTTATTGATATGCATTTTCCTAAATAACTATAACATTGATATATTATATCCAATAGATAGTACTTGAACCAAACAACACTCAGTTTCGTGATCTTGTTTTCTATATTAATCGACACAGGAACTGTTGGCTGTGCCCGTGTATACATATGAGACCAGTATTCGCCTTTTATCTCATCGAAACTGAAAATTAACAACTTATCATTTAAAAAAATAAAATTTGACATGATTTTAGAACGAATCTTAAATATAAACTTTTTTAAATTTCGAATCTATTCTTTTATTGCCGCAGTGAACTTGTTAAGTTGTAGAACATTTGACTCGTTTCATTTTTAAATTTAGAATGTTTAATCCGAAAAGCCTTTAAATAAAGTACAATACGAGATAAATTGATTTTAATAATATTGTTATACTGTTACGTGCATTCCTCTCGTTTACTATCAGACTAATATACACCATCTTTATATTGTATGACGTCATCACCTCACGGAACGAACAGCCTTACGTAGTTAGTGTTGTTATATATACGGTGTAAGCGAGAGGAGAATAGTTAATAAAATATACAAGTTGATTAATGTATTATGATGACTGTCCAATGTTGCTGGAGGATTTGTATTTTAATCATATTGTTGTATCACATTTTACAATAAACGATCATTAGTCCAGTCATTTAAGCTTAAATTAGGTAAGAATCTCGGAATGCGAGATACCCAGCTGTAAGTCTGTAAATAGTTGTATATTAACACCCTAAAAGTTGTCTCAAAACCTACATATGGTAGGGTGTAAGCAACTATTAAATTTCAAGTTCAAAGGTCACAAAAATCGGTTTTTTGCGCTTTTTTTTGGAAATATCTCATTTCCTATGGGTTTTTTGCTATTTGTATATATTATCAATATTGTAGAATACTAAATTGTCTAAAAATTTCGTTTCAAAAATTTTTTTATACGGTGTACCGTTTTCGAGATAGAGGGCGGAGAGCGCGCGGTCACCGCATCACTTCAGGTCAACCGGTGCCTCCGGTCGAAAACGCGCCATATAAAGTTGATGAACTATCGATAAATCAATGATTATAAATATTTGTCAATTTTTATTAACTATTATATTATATTTTATCATTTTTTTCCTAACTTATCCACTTTTTATTCAGTATTAATTTATTTAACAACACTTACCTGTCCATGTAATTGCAGAATTCTCTAATAATAAATAATAATTGCTGCTGCAGCTTCTACAATTCTTAGCCTTTCTGCTTCAGGATCTATTTTTTTACTTTCGTACCAAGCTTTTGATAGAATATTAGCTTGTGCATCACGGAAAGAAATGATCGTGAAAGCTCCAACTTTCTTCGTAATTACGATATCGGTTAAGTACTTCTGTTGTAGTCTTGTAATGATAGTTTTATCATCTGGCACATACCCTGTCAAGACATCTTTAAGCTCTTTTAGTGTGAATTGAGAATCATTATTATTTTCGATGTAATTGAAAATCTCTAACATAGCTTCTGTAACTCGATTATCTTGACGAGGTTTCTCAAGAGGCGATGATGATGATGATTTATTTGAAAAGTTTGTAAAACAAGCAGCATGGTACTTCGCTTCAGCAGCGATCAAATCAAACTGTAAAATTATACGACTTTTCACCAATTCTACAAAATCATCCCCACGTTCTTCTGCTTTTTTGAAAATTGACAAATATTTATAATCATTGATTTATTGATAGTTCATCAACTATATATGGCGCGTTTTCGACCGGAGGCACCGTTTGACCTGAAGTGATGCGGTGACCGCGCGCTCTCCGCCCTCTATCTCGAAAACGGTACACCGTATAAAAAAATTTTTGAAACAAAATTTGTAGAGAATTTAATATTCTACAATATTGATAATAAATACAAATAGCAAAAAACCCATAGGAAATGAGATATTTCCAAAAAAAGCGCAAAAAAACGATTTTTGTGACCTTTGAACTTGAAATTTAATAGTTGCTTACACCCTACCATATGTAGGTTTTGAGACAACTTTTAGGGTGTCAATATACAACTATTTACAGACTTACAGCTGGGTATCTCGCATTCCGAGGTGAACTTACTATAATGACTGGACTACATATACAAAATATATCATCGGATTTATCCTGAGACCGTATCCAGTGTTACTCGACACACTCGGACGGTGGAAATATTACAAGTGTGCTTTCTAGTTTATATATTATAGTTTATGTTAGGTTTATTTTATTTAAAATTGTATCGATAATGCGACCTTTAATTTATAATGTATGGGGTAAATATAAACACAATAATATTTTTAGTACGTCTGTGTGTAAAATTTGTATAAAAATTATGATATACATCGGAATGTGAACCGGCACTGTTTCATACTTGTATCTGTGAACAGTGTGCCAAACGGGATGCGGATGTATTTTAACATCATTTACATATATTTTTCACAGCATTAGATAAAAAAATCGTAAGTGTGAATGATACCGCGTGGTCTGATATAAATTTAATGTTCGTAGTATTTATTTTAAAAAATCGTTTGTGTGCGTGCGTGTGGACACGTTCACGAAATGGATTTATGTTCATATTGACTGACTCTGCTGTAAATGAAATACGTTTAAAATTAAATTCCCAAAAATATTCTTATAATATTCCCCTCGGTCAGCCGAGCCTCGCGCCACTGGTATGGAGCGGCCGCGGTCATGATATATATATTTAATAGTTATATTTTGCTTCTGGAAGGCGATTTTTTTGTGCAATCTATTTGTTTATTGTAAATCATTGAGTGTTTCACCGCGGTCTGCCGCCGACGTAACGTAGATCTCCGTGTTATTGGACTGACCATTTTAGCGATAATTTGCGACGCTGTTTAATAAAAATAAAAAAATGATAAATTTTGTATAAATATTTATAACGATAATGTAACTGTTGAAAACAAATATTGTAAAAGATGACATACTGTAAGGTGCTTATGTTACGTTATAATACAAAGTTGTGCATACACTTGTTGTTTCATTCACAGCCAGTTAATGTACCTTATCATTTAAAGGTCGTGGTGGCCTAGAGGTTAAGGCCCGCCTTTCGTGCATGAGGGCGCGGGTTCGACACCTGGCAAGCACCAATGTGATTTCTGAGAATCATACGTACTAGAGCAAGAGCCAGGGCCAGCCAGGCCTTCGTTAATTTATAGAAGCTGAAAGTTTTTCTATAGATGTACCCAATACAGGTAGTCACGATACCTACTTATGAAACTTCTGTCGCGGTGGCTTTGGCAGCCGGCAGGTAACAGGTTCTAAGGGTGTATAAAATTGTCTTTCACTTTTATCTAAAACTAAATTTTATACTATGAGGAAAGTGTATTATTGAAAAGAATATTTTTCTGCATAATTTGTCTAAAATTAATATTTCTTTCTGCAATAATTTTATGTAACGATTTTTTTTTGTTAAATTTAAAAAAAGTTCACACAGAATACATTGCTAAATGACAGCTGATACGAAGTAGAAGCTCGCAATAGACAATTTTATACACCTTTAGAACGTGTTACCTGCCAAAGCAACCGCAACAGAAGTTTCATAGGTGGGGATCGTGACCAGTGGCGGCTGTACCTTAAGTGCACTCGTGCGCTGAACCACCAATTCAAAAGATTTAAAAATTACAAAATAATACTTCATCTTTATTTTTAAATTACCATTTTAATATTTATTTTTAAAACATATAAAAACGTATAAAAAATTTAATTTCCTAATTATGGTCAAAAAGTTTGAGCGCTTTACTAAACTTATATCGTGCGCTTCGGCGAGTGCACGAGGACTGCTAGTACATCTTGTATGAGATACGCATTAATACGCCTGACGCGTGAAACAAAAGATAGTTCATAGAAATGTACCGAGTAATGAGTCGGTTCTCGAGCGCCGCACGAGCGACCGAAGATTACCGAGAGCACCCGATGTATGACGAATTGAACCATGATTGACATCTCGTTATGTTTTGTTGCATTTTCTATTTTTAATATTTTAGTAAAGTGCACCCCCGGTTCGATTACCTACCGGCCGCCACTGATCGTGACTACCTGTATTGGGTACATCTATAGAAAAACTTTCAGCTTTTATAAATTAACGAAGGCCTGGCTGGCCCTGGCTCTTGGACTATACTTTCCAAGACTATTTAGACACCACTAACAGGCGGTGAAGGAAAACATCGTGAGGAAACCTGGACTTATAAGTTTAAAATCACCAACCCGCATAGAGCAAACATGGTGATTAATGTTCAAACCTTCTCCATGTGAGAAAGAGTCCTTTGCTCAGAAGTGGGCTCTGATAGGCCGATGATGACTATAAAATAAAATAACAGGAGAATATTATTTAAAACTATTTATTATTTATAAATACATTGTATACCAGACTCGTTTTATACATAAATAATTACACGATTTTAATAATAATAATAAAAAAATTGCTCTTATTTTTATTTTAAAACAATACGTGAATATTCGGATGTGATTTCGAGTGTCGTTTAATATATTTTTTAGTTTAATCCTTTATCGCGAGGAGTCTTAAGTAGAACTTCATATAAGCTTAATAATAATATACACAACATGAACTGTGTAAACATTTAAAAAAATCTATTGCGTGCTTAAAGTCATCGTTCACTTATTGCCATTCAAGAAGATTTTCCTCCCGGGGATATTAAAGGATTATTAATACTCAAAGATCTTTTAATGAGATGAAAGTTTGGACACAGATTAAAATAATAAAAAACCTAACTGATATACTTGTCAAACTCATACACATTTTGTTGCCTCGTGTAAAAACGATCAAATACTCAAATTAACTTCATTAAATTTTTTTGCCTAGAAATACTTAATACAAGGAAAATCATTTAAATTAATATTGCATGTTTCAATTCCTAGTCATCACATCGGGTAACATATTAGGCCTCGAAACAAGGGAATGAAAAATTAAAGTCCACATTCCGCTACAACATCTGACAGCTTCAAACGAACCTCGTATATATTTAAATTATTTTATTTAATTTTGTCGCTACTCTTATATAAAGTATCACAATAACGCTGTTTTTCATCCGATATATAGTTCCGGGGATACCGCGGACAAAACAAGCTGCTTCATATAGCTTATTACGTTAACATGGCCGAGAATGGAAAAGTATAAAACAAAGCTGCAAGAACAAAACCAGGACTGTTGAGATTACAATCACAAGTCAAATAGTAACTTAGTAAAGTACAGGTCGATCTTCTTAATTATTTAAGAAATATACAGAAAAAGATGTGGAATTTAAATAATAACAATAACTTAAGGCGCTTCTGAATCAACGTGGAGTCATTCTATTGGTGGACATTTATTTCTTCGCTTCGTTCGGTTCTCCCGGGTGTGTTAGACGGTATGAGATCATGACTGTTCCTCGGTCGTGAGCCAGTCGTGTGCCGGTCGTGTCGTCCCCGTGTCGTGTCGTTACTTGCGCCTCTGTTTCTCAGCCAGCTTGTCGTTGAGCGCCGCCACGTGCTCGCTCACCACCCGCAGTTGATGCTCGTAGTTGCGAGACGTGGACTGAAGTTCTTCCTCCTGGGTCACAATACTCGTTAAAATAACTAATTATCTTACTTAACCAATATAAACTAGTCTTGCTAAGTGTTTTTATTTCTTTATAAGCTGGATCATACAGGAATGTTTCAAATTGTTTCTAGATGATGTTCATCTTACCACAAGTTAGGTTGAGTAACTAGCATGCATGTATGCATGCATGCACTCTACTTTACATGTGATAGTATTGATATAAGTTATGAATGGAAACTGGGAACGCTTTGTGTGTAGGAAAACTATATACATGTATGTATGTGTGTGTGCGTGTATGTGTGTGTGTGTGTCCCCCTACTAACCAGTCTGCTGATGGTGTTATGTTTCTCTTCCAGGACCCTCGCGTCTGTTTCCTTTTCTCTTTCGAGCTCATCGAACCGCAGACGAAGCATTTCACACTGAGAAAAAAAATTATATAAAATATTATGTGTAGTTTTAATACTAAAGCAAAAAATATATTAACTAATTAATTGAGGGTCAAATAGTTTTGCTTAATAATATTAATAAATACCTCTTTAGTATAATGCTCAGTTTTGCTGCTGAGCTCGTCCCTTTGGATGCTCAGTTTGCTCAGTTTATCTTGATAGTAGCGAGTGATCCTACTCTCTCTTTGCTGCATTTCCTCGCTGGCCAGGAACGGCACCTGAAGGCTTCCCAGAAGACCTGTCACTCTGCCCTCAGCATCTGGAAAACAAACACTTTCCTTAACTAACACTAACATATGTTAATGTTGCTTTTATATTTATTTGATGAAATATTCTTTGAGCATACAAATATGTAGTCTCTTCTCTTCTACCTGGCAATTTCCCAGCTATAGCAAGGGTCTGCCTTACATGTTGTGAATAGTTTTGGCTATTTTTACGACCGGCCGTCTGCCTGACATAAACCCTCTTTTGGGAATCAACATTAATCAGTGATGTCTAAATATTCTTAGAAAGTACATATGTATGATTCGGAAAAATCACATTGGTACTTGCCCGGGCCAGGATCGAACCCGCGCCCTCAGCAACGAGAGGCGGGCCCTTTAACCACTGAGCCAACACATGAATATATAGTAGCTATTGTGTTAAATTTACATCGTCACACTAAACACGAAGAATTACAAGTTTTGAATTCATAAATTTCCATAAATGATAGTCTTAATGTAGGTTATGTATGAGAACAGTAAACTAATTGTATGTACTATTAAAACTTTTGCTGAACCTACAGCTCATGTTCGGTTAAGCGATGATATCATACTTATCAATTAATGACTTAGTAAGGGTATTATTTCCTTGTTAAATAAATTAATGTTCATCAACTCACCAACAGAAGTCTCACTGAATGTATTAAAGTCCCCGGAGTCTAAAGTATCTCCTCGTCTCTTCTGGGACGCCGCCACGTATTTACTTAAATCTAATTTAAGGCTCTCATTTTCCATTTTCAGAATCTCGTATTCCATACGGAGTTTTTCATTTTCCTTACAAAAAAAGCAAAAACAAAATAAAGTAAAAATACTCATATGAATATTAAAATGTGTGTAATAATAATTTTATGTATAATCAAGTATAGGCACCTGTTCTAATGTATGCGCTTTTGTACTCAATTGTTCATTTATGTTTGAATCGTCGACAGAACTCAACGCATCTTCACTTCCAACCTGGAAAAAACAAATATTCACTTTCAAAATACGACATTTGGTTCCAGTATGGAGAAATATTCGTTTATTACACAGAATACTAGAATCAGTCCTAATTGCAACTAATAAAAAAACATTTATAACACTTACCAAACTACCTCCTTCAGACAGGAAGTCTCCGTTACAACTGAGCGTTTGATTATTCAGTGTTTTATGAATGTTCCCCGCCCTCTCTCTCTGAATTTCTTCCAGTGCATATTGCAATTCCTGATTCTTATTCTTTAGTTTAGCGATTTCACACTTATACCTACTATCACTTTCACTTGTATGCCTCTGTAAGTCTTCTAAAGAGGCCTGCAGTTGTGACACCTCAAACGACTTATCTGAAAGCTGGAAAAAACGAATTTATTAAAAAATATATAATGATTTATTTAAAATTATGGCTTCCAATGTTCCTAGAAAGAAATTTGTCATACATATTTTATAAAATTTTAGTATTATATGAATTCATTTTCATCTATACTAATATTATAAAGCTGAAGAGTTTGTTTGTTTGTTTGTTTGAAAGCGCTAATCTCCGAAACTACTGGTTCGAATTGAATAATTCTTTTTGTATTGGATAGTCCAGTTATCGAGGAAGGCTGTGAGCTATATAACATCACGCTACGACCAATAGGAGCAAAGATATAGTGGTAAATGTGTAAAAAACGGGAGAAATTATTTCATCTTTGAAGCCTTCCGTTGCGTGCGCCGTGAAAACAGTTCAAGATACACAAAAATTATGTATTAATGAATAATAGCTCTTTTAATGATCTAAAAAACAGTCCGCGACAGTATATGTCTATCTTTTAAGATTAACTCATAAAAACCGTTTTTATGGTGCCTAATTTGGTCGAAATAATTTGTTTAAGTTGTATCAACATAATAATATTAATCTTTATTCAAATAAACAAATAAATATGTTGTTGGTTAAGAGTACTTCATTGTGAATAAAAAAAACATAGGTTTTATCCTGAAAATTCTACGGGAACTCGACCGTTCCGAAAACCCCGCAAGAACGGGAACTATGTGGGAAGAACCAAAAATCTGGCGGAAGTCACTATTCCACGCGGACGTAGTCGCGGCAAAAGCTAGTTAAATATAAATATAAAGTAATAAAATTTTAGGGAATTTATCACAACAGCACTTTAAAACATTATTATACTGAAAACGACAAATTCAATATATTATTTTTACACAGAGTTTACAAAAAAATTTCCTTTTTTTGTTAAAAGCAATAAATGTGAATTTTTTGCAATAATGATGCTACATAATATACTCAATGTTAGGTATAATAACTTAATTGAAAAGTAATAAATAAATGTCCAACCTGAGAAGCATATTGGGCATTTTCAATAATCTTTTTCTGGAGCTCCTCTTGCAGAACCCCCGAGTCAAGTGGGGCGACGTTACTGGCTGCTTGCTTATCATCTTTACTCTTTGATTTCTTTGTTGATTTTGACTGGAATATTTTAGAAATAGAATTAAGTTAAAATACTATAATTATGTAGTGCCATTTCCATATTATGTAATGTTGAAATCATGTTATATGTGTAGAAATTGCAAACATCTGAAAACTCAGGCCAGATAGATCTATATGGTATTGGAATGGAATTTTACAATAATGGTATTTTTAAACAGAAACAAATTATACTTCCTATATATACTAATTTCATATTATGTCTAAGATTAGCGAGCAAAACTGTTACTTGTAAGTTATGGTTTTAGGTTAACAAATAATGAAAACTGGCTTGTCAAAAATCTAAAAATGTATTGTAGTAGAAATTTAGTGGGGAAAACAGGTGTTGCCCCAGCACCCTTTCTTTACAATGTAACCAGTTGTTTTCTCTAACATCAAAAATTACCAGAGTTTTAATTCAAATCTCTTTATAACCCATGGTATCAAATAATAACCCACAATTGAAATCTGAAAAAGCCACACTTTGATGAATTTATTATGTTGTAATTTTTGAGGCATGTCAATCTATCCCAAAAAATCCAAGATCATTAAATTTAAAATTCACCACCCAAATCCTTATTCTATGAAAAAATAACCACACAAAAGGCATGCAAATTGTACTCTAGTGTCAGAAAGTTCTTTGGTGTGGAATCAGTTTTAAATATTATCAATAGATCTCACACAATAAAAAGTATATTAAATATATGACATTATTATGTCTATTACTATTGAGTTTGCAGTTCTGATATAACAACTATTAACATTTAGAAGTCATTAAATTTGTACTTAAATGAATAATAACAATATGTATTGATTTCTAAAGTGAAACTTGCCTGGAGATTATCAAGTTCATCTTGAAGGACGGAAACGCGTCGCGTCAATTGCTGATTTCTAAATGTTAGGGAATCTATTTCCAATTCGCCTTTTCTAAGGTTTTTCTCTTTTTCTTTTAATAATTCTCTGAGCTCATTCGACTTAGCCTGCTCATCTAGGACACCTTTTTTGAGCACTTTAACATGGACCCTTAACTGAAACGGAAACAATGAGTTTATAGCAATTGCCGATCCGACAAACCAATACGAATACAGTGAACACCTCACCTTCGAATACTCAGATGCTAACTTCTGATACTTGGCCTGCACATCGCCGGAAGGCAATCCCTCCATGACTAGATTTCAAGAAAATTTTACCATTGCTAATATAATAAAAACTGTTTGTTTGTTGTAACAGTATCTAATATAATATTCAACACCCACTTTCCTGTTAAAAATGACAACAATTTGACATTAGCCTGACGTTTATAAAATTTAACACATGATTTACTGCTACCACTAGGAAAGGTTATGCAAAATAGAAAGTTAGTTTAACACAAAGAATATACATAATAATTTAAATAATTTTGAGTCAAACTATGTATTTTTTTTCGTTTTTGACGTCGAAGAATATTACAATAGTGTGTAAAGTTTTTATTATCTGTCATAAAATTTCACTCCTGGCAATATTTTCTCTGTTGATGTGTCTAGATAGTCCAATCTAAAATATCAATATTTTGGAATTTATGAAAGAAAAACAATAATTTGTTAAATATATTTCGTACTTATTTATCACAAAACATATTTTATTACTTTATGACTAAAACATGGACGACAGGTAAGGTTTTGATTTATAATTTAACAATGTATTGCAACAGGTAAAACTTAGTCAGAACAAAGTAATTCGTAATGAAACTGTATAAATAATCCACAGGAATATGGATTCAAGCTGTTCTACATTTACCGATGTGTCGAGTGACCACTCTAAGAGTATAATACACATAGACGTGGATTGTTTTTACGCTCAAGTAGAGATGGTGCAGAAACCAGAACTGCGATGTTTTCCGCTAGGAATCCAACAGAAAAACATCGTTGTAACCAGTAATTACGAAGCCAGGAAGTACGGTATACGAAAGTGCATGCTCGTGTCTGATGCTTTAAAAGTGTGTCCGAATTTGAAACTTGTTAACGGCGAAGACTTACACGATTACAGAGCGGCGTCCAATAAAATATTTACAGTTTTACAAACGTTTAAGTGTCCAGTGGAGAAGTTAGGAATGGATGAAAATTTTATTGATGTCACAAATATAGTACAAGAAAGAATAAAAAATGTTAATTTAAAAAGCATCACAGTCTCAGGTCATTTATACACCGAGTCCAACACAGAGTGTGTGTGTGGTTGCCATGCAAGACTGAAAGTAGCATCACAAATAGCCTCTGAAATGAGGCATAAAATTTACGACGAATTAGGTTTTACTACTTGCGCTGGGATAGCACACAATAAACTGTTGGCTAAACTTATATGTCCTTTAAATAAGCCTAACGATCAAACAACTATTTACCCCGAGCATGGCGTCAGTTTTATGTCTACCTTGCAAAGTGTCCGCTCAATACCAAGTATAGGTTCCAAAACTACAGAAGCCCTCATCTCTCAAAAAATTATCACTGTGAGGGATTTACAAGAAGTTTCTATAGAAGTATTGAAAAAGCATTTTAGTTCTGATATGGCAGTGAGACTTAAAAACTTAAGTGTGGGTGAAGATAATACTCCAATTAAACAAACAGGCAGGCCTCAGAGTATAGGTTTAGAAGATAGCTTTAAGACTGTAAGTGTTAAGAGTGAAGTCGAAGAAAAATTTCAAGCATTGCTTCAAAGGCTGTTGATTCTAGTGAGAGAAGACGGACGCATTCCAGTATCACTAAGAGTGACTTTAAGGAAAAAAGATGTGAAAAGATTAAGCAGTCACAGAGAGTCGAGACAGTGTCAAGTATCTCCATCCATCTTCACAATCACCAACGGAACACTCACAGTTACTGATTCTGGTAGGCAGAAGTTGATGAGCATAATAATGAGATTATTTAACAAATTAATTGATCTATCAAAACCATTCCATTTAACTTTAGTGGGTTTGGCATTCACAAAGTTCCAGGAGCGCATGACAGGTAGAGGGTCTATTGTCAATTATTTAATGAATGATATATCGGTCCAATCTGTACTCAATATTACAAACGACTGTGATACTTCAGCTTCTTCTATGGATTATTCAGCTGCATCACCTAGTAGTAGTACCACCACTGATCTTTCTGATGGTGAAGTAGAACCATCACCTAAGAAACCTAAAAAGGGAACTTGGATAGCTAAAAGACGTTGCTTATCAAAGGAAGAAGTTGCATCTCCTAGTAAACTTAAAGTAGGCGAGTTGAGGCTCAATTCTAAAGAACTAGAAAAGGTTTCTGAATTAAGACTAAATTCCAGAGACAGGTCACTCACCCCTAGAGCGAGTCCCGCAAAGGACAATCTCTCGGATACTTCAGATACTGCAAAGGACTCAGCTGACAGTAAATGTGACATTTGTCCTAGTTATGTAGATAAGGAAGTCTTCAATGCTCTCCCTGAAGAAATGCAACAAGAACTGAAAGCTATGTGGAAGAATCCCTCCAGTTCAGGGGTCAGAAGTAGCCCCAGAACATTGAACAAAGCTAAACCGAACACTCTCTTAAAATATTTTGTTCCAAACAAATAGCATTAGTTAAACTTGTTAATTATTTAAGTGATAAGTGAATGGTTTCTATTTTTTCAAATCATACAATTTTATTCAGCTGATCAAATACATGTTTATGTTATATAAATAATTCGTTTTCTTTATCACACACTCAGAGGGTAAGTGAAAAGCGGGAGAATATTATTGGACATATCATTTAATAGCTATATTTTTTACAGTATTGGATACCATTGAAGTTAATTGGCTTAGTTTGTGCACATTATTTACATGAAGGCTCTGCGCCAGATTGCTATACGAAACAACATCTACATTTAGTTGTAATCTAATTTTGTCACCGTCGGTGACTCCCGTATTTTCTTGTGTCTGTTGAAATGATATATCCCGAATTTGCTTCAACCTTCTCAATGACTCTTCAGTTTTATGAACCGATACTAAAACATCTTCTACATATTTATAATATCTGAAAAAATATATTTAGTATTTATCATATAATTGTATACTTTGTTATTAGCCGACCATTAAACATAATATATAAGAATAGAATACTTACGAATCTGTCATGATTTTAAACAGATCATTATAGACATTAACTAAGAATTCCTTCTCCAATCTCGTAGACACTTCATCATCAAATTCTTTAATACTTTTGGCGATTGTTTCAATATAAGTGCATGGTTTTGTTGGTATACTGCGATTAGTTTTCCTGTACAGTCTTGGTATATCACTGACTTGTTTCAGTTGTACATTGAAAAACTCATACAACTCATTTACAATACATTGATGGATTTTAGTTTTCAAACCTATTAACAGATTCTGTGATGGTTTGAGGCTCGGTTTCAGCAAATCTTTGCTTTTCTGACTAAACATTTTGGTTTCAACCATCTGTAAGAATTGTGGTAATCTTTGATACAGTCTTTCGCTGTCAATCAAGAAACTAATGCTGTATTCTATGAGAGTCTTGTCCAGTCCTGTAGGTTCTATCTTAGGTTTGGAGGTCTGTAAAATTATACAAATATGTGAAGTCTAAAATTTTCCTAGATGTATGAAATTAAATTAAAAATTACTATCAAATTTCACTTCTATATAATTGTTACATTTATTTGTTAACATAAATATTATATATGAATAATTATTTCACAACAAAAAACTGAAAAAGTATATGAGGTGATGTAATATATTTACACTTTTATAGTTTTATATTACCTGTGTACAAATACTTGTGATCCATGTTGCATATCTTGATATTAATTGAAGTGATAGTTTCCAAAACTTATGAGACAATGCCTCTATATATATTCCATCCGACCAGCAATCCTGTAGGGCCTTCCAACAATTGTATGTTTCTAGTAAAATAAAACCGTCATTTTCTTGAAGGACAGGACTTGATTTTAGAGACCCTTCAAAACCACCTAAAATTTATGAATTTTCAATCAAAGTATCCATTACATACACAACAAATAAATATTATAGTAACTTAAATATTTTTCTGTACCTGCAACTTCCTGAAATCTAATTTGAAAATAAACCGGCAAATTCCACCTCCGAAGAAAACTCTTATATTCTGGAGTTTCATGCAACAACTTTATCATTTCTTTAGTGGAACAGTATTCTTCTATTTTTTTTATAAAACACATGCTCTCAGAATATCTTCTGTAGAATAATTGAGGATTTCCAGGTGCAAAAATGGAAGCTAGGTTGACTTCAAGGCGACTTTCAACTTCACACCAAAAACAATTAACTAAAAACCTGTACTTCCTAGCATGTACCATTAACTTGGAATGTTGTGTAACAACTAGAAGCAATTTAAGTTTAGTATCTAATAAAGATAATATCCTTTGATACACTCCTTGTAATCCATCCTTGCTTCTTTGTAAAGCGGGTTCGTTTATAATATCTTGCAATAATGGAGCCACAGCTTCCTTTCTTAACAGCATTTCAGTTTCACTGACTCTATTTAATGTGGATAATGTCACCAACGTCCTGAGGAGATACTCTTCGCTATTGTCATTCCAGAATTGAAACAATAAATCATTTAAATTTTGAACTAATTTTCCTCTAACCTCTGTATACTGCTTTTTCTGTTCTGATTTAAGTAGACTGTCACACTTTGATATAGAATATGTCAGTTGATTGTATTGCATTGCAGCTCTATCTGCAATAACTATCTGCTCATGATATTTTTTGTCTTTCATGTCGACTAAGATGCTCTCTAATGTAAGCAAACAGTTAATTGTCTGGCTATAATACTTTAATAGCATTTTCTTTTTTAATAAAACATGTCTTTGATTGAGCCATAGTGACAATTCTTTCATAGCATCTTCAAGGCATTGCTTGACACTCTAAAATAGACAAAGGGTTAGATATAATTATGGTTTGGTTTCTTGTTCATAAATCAAAATATTACTTACCAATACTTCTTCATTTAACTGGCTTAATGGCACTTGAACTTTTATAATTGCCTTGTCAAAACCAATAAGTGTAGCACACAGATTGACAAAATTTGCATAATCTTTGTTAATAAGCTCTATCATAGCCAGTCTTAGGACTTTTAGGTAGACACCTAGATCATCACGCATAGTTTCCAAAGACGCTACATCTTTATGATCTGTGAGGAAATTATCCACTGAAAAAGATGTCTGAAATAAAAATAATCAAAGGAAATGTCTATAAAGAAATAATATGTATAAATATTAAATAAAAAACGATGTATACCTTGACAAAATCATTACGATCAAAACATAAGCCCCGAGGAGCCGGTGGTAGAGTAAACTCCTTTGTATCGTTATCCATATTAGATGTTTTTTCTGTTAAGGCACCATTATTAAAATTAACAGTTTATAAACATTTATCTATTAAAATCGCTCTTCTTTCCGGAATTCATTTTGACATATATTAAGATCTGACGTCAGCTTGACTTCTGACATATTACACGTCAGACATAAATCGAATACTCAGATATAGCATTATCAAATATAATGAAACTGCTTAGGTTAAGGAATATTTAATTAAATTGTTATTAAATGCAAGTTTCAAGAATCTTTACTTAACATTTCTCGATAAGTTTAAAAATTTTAAGCTAATATGTCTTATTTCTATTCTCAATTTTCATTTGTCAAAGAGTCTACTGGAACATCTGATATTTACAAATTATTTACAGTCACAAACATTCAAGGAGACCAAGACAACAGATATACAATACTAACAAAGTTAGAAACTGTCGGAGTTTTAAAAAAAGGAATAGTTTGTCATTAATCATGAAACAAAACAACTTTGGTCGTCACCTACTAAGTACTATTACAATTTTTATAATATACGTTTATATTATAATAAACATTTTTATGGTGTAATTTTATTTCAGTATAATATTTATTATTCAGTAGAGTAACATTTCGATTGTGATATAATTTGCTATCTTTCTCTACATTACAAAATATTTTTAGCTTTAATCTATATAATGTCACCGATGTATGAGTGCGTGATCATTATAAGGAAAACCGTTTATAAATTCAGAATTTTTCTTCTTGAATTGAATTATAGATTTGCAAACAACTTTTTTATTATCAGTTTATTATTAATTATTATTTCTTTGAGCTGCCAGCTCGTTTAAAAATAAAAATATAAGTCAATCTACCTACCGCCGGGATAGGGGACGATACGGGAACCCTTTGGCTATGGGTCTAGAACTCTAGTTAACTATATTTTTAAAATTACCGGATAATTGTAGAATCATTTATTTTTTCCCTGTTAGAGTAAGTATAACGAGTGGCTAAAAAGTAAACGCCTCCAGTCGTGAAAGCAGAATTTCCGAAAATAAACAATAATATTGACCTCTGTGACTAAAAGTATTTATGAAAAGTATCAAAGATGCAAAAAGTTTACCCTATTTCAAATGACGTTATTAAAAATTACCAATTATTATCTGTTTGGTTTTTGTCAGGGAATTAGGGAGTTCTGTATCATAGAGCTCTGCTTGCCACCTTTACACACGGAGAGATCAGCTACGCAAGAACCGGTATTCAATTTGGCAAGATGCCTGCTTTAGGAGAGAGCAACCGTTATATTGATCAGTTCCCAGACGTGATTACTCTAAGTAATAATGCTTTAAACAAGCCTTCGTTTCCTAAGAATTATTTAACCCTTCATAAGCCTAAGAGTTCGATTATGTTACGAAGAAAGGCCACTATGAGAAATTAGAAACAGTTGCTGTAGAAGGCAAGCCATGACTATGCTTTCTGGAAAACAAGTTCTAAACGTTTTTTAGATACTAACTTGACACACTCCACTAACTTTAAACATTTTAGTCTTTGTAAATATCAGCAGTCAAATTAATCCCAATTAACATTTTTATTAATGACAAAAAAATAATTAAATTTGAAGTCAGATTCAAATTAGGTACATAAAGTGTTGCTAAAATATGAAAATATTTGAATTATTTAATCACAGACAAACACAACTTGCAAATATAAAACCACCTCATACTAACTGAGACGGCACAGCAAAATAAAAATCACAGTCGATATATTGCTGATTCTAAAAAAAAAAAAATTTAGCGCTACCCAGTCTGAAAAACAACTTGCATAATGCACTGAATATTTCAAAATAAATTCTATCATTGTTGAAAATAGCTTCCAATCTTGTGTACTTATGTCATTCTGCTGCCTGTCTTCAGATACAAAAATAATGTAATCATCACTCATAACGCTAAAACGATGTTCTATTCTCCCGATGACGCGGTCACTATACATTAAAAAACAAACATTGTTCTGAGATCTAAGATTTCCGCGAGTATTCATTTAAATGAAACTAATATTTTCAGATTGACTACGGGATAGACGACTAGACGAGTTGTGAGTGATCACGGTTGCTTTAAAGGAACCGAAACGTCGCGAAGTTATAATCAAAAATAAAAATCGCGTAACAAATAATCGCGAAAATATTAGTTTATTTTAAACGATGTTCTAAGTGGAGTTAATGTATCTTTTGAATTTCCGAAATTAAAAACATGTGTCATTCCAAGTTAAAGTAATGAGACTTAAAAAGAAAAAGTTATATTCTGTATAATTGGAAAGACGCTCACTGTATAGCTCTTACTACAAACACATTAAAATAGTTAATATATATTTATATTTAATTGTATAATTAATTAAAATCGATATTACATAAGTCTTGTGTAATAATAGTATCTTAAGCGTTGTTGAATTAAAAGGTTTTTGCATATGAAATAGTTATTCAGGTGAGGGCTGTGTTAGAGCCACATGTTTCAGGAAAATGGACTAAGATTTGCTAAACGCATACAATTGCTGTTACATAATATACGTACTCTGTTGCGGACGGCTTCGCTGACACATTAAACCATCATCATTATGAGATTTAACTCGATTTCTCGGAGATCCTTAATCAGAACATGACTTGCTTACACTTGAACTACGTCACGAATGCGCTTTTTCTAAAAAAAATAAAAAGAATTATAATATAATGAATATTTGGTCAAATTGTGAACTTACTTTTTGTAGTCGGTTGAAAAGTAGCTTAAGTTACTTATTATGACATTAGCTACCAGTAGGTACGTGCTTGTGGAATTCCCGTCAAAATCGGTCCAGCCGTGCCAGACTAGACGGAACAATCAGAGATACAAATAGAAGTTGTTAAATACAAGTTAAAATCGGACACTTCAGTTTTGTCTATGAACTATTACATCAGAAAAGATTACAAAAAATCTATCTAGTAAGTAAGTGCTTTGTTCGTTCTTAGGATAGTAATGATATATTACATAATCAAAACGATGTGTTATCATGACTGGTATGGTGAACGCAATATTTATCCAATGGTATTGTTTATTTTTTAATAACAGTTTTATGATGGTAAAAAAAAATCAATTTTATTATAATTATCCGCCTCTAACACTATAAGTATGTATAAATATTGAACAGCATAATATTATTTAAACAAATATTTTTCAAGACTTTTGTTTGACGGTACAGAAGTAAATGACATATAGGTCTTCATTACTTAATAAACTTGCTTTAAGTATACTCCATCTGTTTATATACGAATAAAGTCGTTACGAAATTCAAAGGGGAAAATTATTTTAACAACCCCTAAACGATATCAATTAGGGTACTATTTACTAAATTAACTTAATAAGATAAGCAGGTATAAAACATCGGTTCGTCATAAACTATTATTTCATTTCTAACTGAGCGTCGCTGTACGATCGCTTTTAAAATGGCTGATATAAAACCTGAAGATCTATTTTTGAATAGGGCCAAATTCGTCATGAAATTGTTAGGCATTTGGCTGCCATCTTATGATGAAACAAACATTCATAAGTTGTATCGATTTTTCATGATGGCTCTACAGTACTTATTTCTGTTTTTCCAGATTATTTATATAGTACAAGTTTGGGGTGACTTGGAGGCTTTTTCGCAGGCCTCGTACCTGTTATTCACGCAAGCCTCTCTCTGTTTTAAAGTGACTGTATTTCAAGTTAATAGGAGCTCACTGAGGGAGCTGTTAAACCTCATGAACGACAAGATATTCGTGCCACAGTCATTTAAACAAAACAGGTTTGTAGAAATTTATTACAGGTTCATACTAAAAAACGAATAAAACTGACAAAAAAATAAGATCCCTCTAAACTAACACACTAAAAATAAATTTTAGAAATAATTATTTGACAAGCAAAAGATGAAAACATATCAGAGTATACATCAGTTTGATTAAATATGTTTATAAAACAAATATCCTTAATAGCTTTAGTACATATTTGGAAAAAATATTAAAGAAAAAGAATAAACTTATACTCAGTCAAATTAAATTACTATTTAGTAATTTAATAAGTACCTTTAATTCAACTTTGCCTTATTATTTTAATATTTCTAAAATATTCTTGCCTTGACGATCCTTAATTAACTAAATTAATCAATAAAACAGGTACACCTCAACGTCCTCTGATTTTTGATTATTTTTTATGAGAAAGATGGCAAACGAGCAGACGACCTACGTAATGGGCAGTAGGCATCGTCGCTAATAGCCATCCGCAACATAAGAGATATTACGGATGCAATGCCGATCTTGATTTTTGAGGAAGTAGGTTGTTGGGTTGGATAAGGAAACGGTAGGAATGGATGGGAATAGGGAAAGGAAAACCGGTTTTCTCACTCATCGGACGAAATTCAGTCATTAATGACTACTTCCATACGATCTTCTATGAGAGGGTGGTACTTCCCCGATAAAGCCTTCCCATGTTCGAGCTGTAGTAACTATAATAATAATAATAATTTATTAATACCCATGAAATAATGTACATAATCTTTGATTTCCGGGACCTCTCTGATTATTAGAATTAAATCCAGTAACATTCAATTTGTTGTAATTAGTCATCTAGTTCATCTGTTAGGGGCGAGGTTTTAAAATCCGTTATACAAAAAACTTAGATTGTACGTAATAGTTTACTTATTCTTCCTCAACTTTACCCCTATTCGGCCTGTTTAAGATGAGAAAAAAAGTTCAATAAACCTAATAATCATAATGGCGACCTATTTTTAAAATCTGCGAGACGCCTACGTAAATATTTTTTGCAGAACGTACTTAGTTTAAAAAAATATATTTTAAAAGTTATATAAAAGCATTTATTGGCGCGCCGAGAAAAATCTTTCTAGATAATCTAGTCGAGTCGACAGTCGGAATGAAAATTATAATTGAATTGAATTAAGTACCTAGTGTTTTTAAGTAATTAGAATCTTTGTTTATCTTTAGAATATTAAGTCTACAAGCAAGAAGAATCAAGAAGTTGCTTCTAGCGTTCATGATAAGCTCTCAGACTACATGCGGTTTATGGGCCTTAAAGCCTTTGTTCGATGACCATGGAAGCCGAAAGTTTCCTTTAGACATGTGGTAAGAATTCTGTATAATGTTATTCCATAGAAATTAATTGAAGTGTTCCTAATATTTTCTTTATTTTTGACGTAGGATGCCAGTGTCACCTCAATCTTCACCACAATATGAATTCGGTTATGCTTTCCAACTCGTGACAATATGTATGAGCGCGTATATGTACTTTGGAGTTGACAGTGTTGCTCTTTCCATGGTCATATTTGCATGTGGCCAGATTGACATTATAAAGGAGAAAATTTTAAAAGTACGTAAACCATTTACCTCATTTTAATGTTCCCTTTCCTCAATCACTAAAATAACATTCTTATAGGATTATTTTTTTTTCTTCAAAAATCTTTTTAGCACATGATGGTATACAGCAGAAATTAAAATAATATGTTGAAACTAGCAAGTAAAAATTCAAATCCAGACATTGTAAATTTGTAATTGTACATATTTATCACTACATAATTTAAGTTTTACAATAACAGACTTATTTTTACCAGATGAAATGACCACAAGCTATTCCAATATAGAAATTGAAACGATAGTTTTCCCAATAACAGTTAAGTTTGTTTCTGAGTACCGAAAGATTAAAAAAACAGACTCGCTATTCTCATTTTGACGAAATTGATTTAAAATCAAATTGATAATGTACTATTATATAATAATCATTGATAGCTCATATTTTTTTAGATAAGATCAATAAGAAAAAAGATGAGTCGAAGAATCGTTGCTTCTGATAACAATAAAAAGCTGATAGAATGTATCAGACAACACCAAGCCGTGGTTCTGTACGTTGTTCCAAAGGAGTCCGTTTTAAGTGTTAATAGTAACCCTTGTTTATATTCTCTTGTATTCGTTTTAGGTTCAAGGAACTGTTGGAGAACACATATCATACGTATCTATTATTTCAACTCGTGGGTAGTGTTGGGTTGATCTGTATGTCGGCATTTCGCATCTTAGTGGTATGTCTAATTTACTATAATTCCATGTGCACAAAAAATTAGACAAAATTACATATCTCTTTACACTGTTTTAGATTGACTGGAGGAGCATGCAATTTTTTTCCATCGTGACTTACTTGTTGGTCATGATAAGTCAGCTGTTCGTGTGTTGCTGGTGCGGTCACGAACTTACTGCTACAGTAAGTTATATAATGCTTTTTAGTTCATAGGATTAAAAAATGTTTGGTACTCAAAATAATCCAATACATATATACATTTATATTCCCAGAGCGAGGACCTCCATAAGGTGTTCTATAGGAGCATGTGGTATGAACAGGACCCTAAATTCCAACGATGCTTGTACTTTGCCATAATGCGATTAGGTCGACCTCTAGTTCTACGAGCCGGCCATTACATACCTCTGTCAAGACAGACCTTCGTCTCTGTAAGAAGAATTATTATGACGTCACTTCATACTACGTACTTATCCAGCCAGACAAACCTTTATCTCTAATAAAATTATTTGTTTTCAGATCCTGCGAATGTCCTACTCTTATTTCGCAGTTTTAAATCAAACAAAATAATAAAGACTAAGAAGGTAAAGGAATGCGTTCTTATTTAAATAATCATCAGGTCAGCTGCTGCTCACTTCTAGACATAGATTTTAGTCTACTAGGAAGGAACTGGGAAGGTTCCGAATCCACCGAAATCTCATGACATTGACTAGCTTTTCGGTCGATCTATTGAGAAGTCTAACTTGGCTGTGCTTAGTAAAACATAGTCTCTATTCGATGTCGTTTTGCCCAGATAAAACACAGCTAATAAATATTTAACACATTAATAATTTAAACAAGAGAGTTTTTTGAAAATAAATATGTATGTAATGCTATTTTAATATTCACAGCGTTTAATGTAATTATACACTTGTCTGTTTTAATTCTTACCTTTAGTTAAGTTTGTAAACAAAAGTCATTAGATTTCGCTTCTGCTTCGCGATTAAAACTTATAAGTTTAATATTGGATACAGCGTGTTGAAAAGTTTTTATTTATTGTGCATGTTCTAAATATGTTTTATTTTAAGTTAAAAATAGATCTTATAAATTAGATAATAATAAAAATATAAAAATAATGCGTGCGTACAAAGTGCACACGTTAGAAGTGAAACTTCTTTGCACTATGCGTGATACGACGTTCTCTCTGTCTCACTTTTTCTCTCAATCTTTCTCACTTGCTTACTCCCTACTCTCACTCCACAGCTAGTTGCTTCATGTCACTTTCGCCCTGTCTTACTCTCTCTCAATCGGTCTCGATCGCTCTCTCTCTCTTTTAACATTTCCGTTGCATACCGATATGACGTTATATTATTTATATCTGTAAAAGTTTTACCCTCATGCGCCTAAGAAGTTTCACTTCAAAAAGTTATTAAACCTTAAAAGACTATAGGTAAATATGACAAAATTTTTAAGTACTTTTAATAAAATCGAATCATGTTTACCTACATCTCGTGTGAGACATAAATTTGTTATTATATTCTGATATATTTATAAAGGAATTTTGTAATGATAACAGCCTGTACATCTCAAACGAATAACACGTTGATGTTTAATATAAAAGGAATATCTAAGTTGTTTTATTTTTATTTTCACTAATCCGACATGGCAGATAGTAGTGTCAAAATATTTCTCAGCCGGCCAAGGAAAGTTCTCACTTTCATGGGAATATGGTTGTCATCGAATAATTATATAATTCTACGTAATATTTATAAATTTTTGATCATGGCCACACAATATTCATTTCTATTGTTCGAAATAGTTTATATTTTCGTCGTGTGGGGAGATATTGACGAAATGTCTGAAGCTTCCTATTTACTTTTCACGCAAACCTCTGTTTGTTATAAAGCATCCGTTTTTATTATTAACAAGAATAATCTTATTGTATTGCTCGTTTTCATGAAGGCAAAGATATTCGAACCACAATCTTCTATTCATTACGGGTGAGTTAATGGAAAAATATATTAGGTATACAAGTAAGTTTAATGAAAAACTTATTCTATTATTAAACTAAATGAGATAATACAATAGCGCAATTTCAGTATACTATACAGGAACGCTCGGGTAGTTAAAAACTTATGTGCAGTATTTTTGATGAGCGCTATTACAACTTGCTCTTTGTGGACCATTATGCCGTTATTCGATGCTGCCGAGACGAGATTCTTTCCATTCAAAATATGGTACGGAAACTTCACATATATTATATCAATATATGAATGAATTAGACTGTTACTGACATACAATTGTTTAGTCGTTTACTATTTAATTGTTTTATGAAAGAAACATAACAAACTTACTTACTAGTGGTACTTTTATTACAATTCAGGATGCCGGTAGACCCTCGAGATTCACCTCAATACGAATTAGGGTATATTTATCAAGTGATAAGTATCTATATTAGCGCTCTACTATTTGTCGCCGTGGACAACACTACTCTAGGGATGATCATGTTCGGATGTGCTCAGTTAGAGATTGTTATCGATAAAATTAAACAGGTGTATATTTATCATAAAATTTTTGTCATTTTTCTATTTTTACTATATTAATTTTATTAAAACCTCATTGTTTTAGTTAAAGAATGTTTCGTCTAAACATAATAAACAGAATACAAAGTTAATACACGAAAATAATAAATTGTTGGACGAATGCATCAAACAACATCAATCTGTTATAAGGTCTATAAATATCTTTTTTTTTCGATATAATTAAGTACGTATTGACTGAACATTTGTTACAGATTTATAGAAATATTGGAGAACACTTCTCACGCCAATATATTTTTCCAGTTGAGCGCAACCGTTGGTATTATTTGTATTATAGGACTGCGTATATCTATTGTAAGAACATTTTCAATGGTTTCATCTTTTATATATATTTTTAGTCTATGTGTTTTTCTTCATAAAATCATCCTCTGTTTTTGAGGCAAACTATTTTATATATTATAAGTGAGGTACGAATATCAACGGTCGTACATGTGCGAATCATCCTTATGATTGGCACTACATGATAACTATTGAACTAATTACTTCTATTGAAATAATAAATCCATAAAAAAATCAGTCCATATGAAAGTTTCAATGATCACTAATGCAATATAATTCAAGTAAAACTAATATTTTTCCGTTTTACTACGATGTGAACGTCTCGTCTGCCATTGATCAAGTTTGATGCAATGTAACAGACGTCGAGAGTATGATGTTAAAAATAATTATAAACGCGTACTTAATCCGAAAAATATGAGTTTTATTTCAATGAATATTCGTGAAAATCAAGATTTAGATCCAACGATATAATTATTTAAATTAATATAAAGGAGATCATTCAGGCTTCATACATTTTTGGCCCCTTTTTTGAAAGTGCCGGTCAACAAAAAAAAATGGTACATATTTGTAGAACTGACCATTTGGAACAATAGTTAATATGGCCCAAAAGTTGTAGGATCCAAGATATAGAAGTTATTCAAGTTTCAAGATTCATCATTTTGGTACTTTATTTTTTTCTGAAAGTGCCAGGAAACATAAAATAATGATTGATATTGCTAGAATTAAGCTTCTCAAGCAAATCATTATAGCCATTATCTGTTAGAAACCTGTCGTTTTTATGTAATACTAGCGAACCCGACACACGTTGTTCCGCCAAGTATCTGAACGCATGCAACACATTTCTTGATGATTTTATTATTTGTCTAACCTAATATGTATATCGGGGTGCCATTTTTATATATTAAAAAAATGGGCCTAGAAGCACTTTTAACTGATTTTGTACCATTTCGGGTCGGATTTGATCATATGACGCGAGAGCAAGCGGCGCAGAGCATGTACATAACCGCATGACTCCAGATTTTCTATAGCATCTCTAAAACCACGGTCTAATATAAAAATGTCACGGTCTAATTTAAAAAAGGCCCAAAAATAATGATCTCCTTTTAATTGATATTTTTTCGATCACATACACCCATACTTTATTCATTTATATGACTATCAGGTAGAACCAAGAAGCGTGCAATTTTATTCAATGTTGAATTACATGGTGACTATGCTGTCTCAGCTATTCCTGTACTGCTGGTGTGGAAGTCAACTCACCACCAAGGTATGAAAGTTCTATTACTCAAGAATCTATTATTTTAATTAAAGTTAATACAACAAGCTGTAAAAACGACCTGATATTAATCCAAGTTCTGATGTACCTTTCATTTCCATAAAAGAAATCCTTTTGCATTATTATAATGGTCTCGTCTGGAAATACAAAATAAAAAGCAATCTCCGCCGACCAGACAGAGCCTTTGTGTTTGTCGGAGGCATTGTTGCTTTATTTTTCTGACAACTCCGTTATTTTTAGTCATAAGCTTGCTTTGATAACCTCATCACTTAAAAGGTTTCTCTGATATAAAAATGGTAGATTTATCTCATTTCTTTACTATTGAAAGGCTTTATAAAATTGTTATTGGTTTTTACATAGATATGTTTATATCATTCAATTATAATAATTGAAAAACCTTTATTTGATTATCACGTAAATAATCTTTTTTAAGTTACGAATCTAAAAAAAATTATACCTATAAAATGTAAAGGAAATTCAGTTTTTCATGTTTTATAACATAATATTTACAATATGTAGCATATTTTAAAAGCTTGTAATATTAAAGATATATTAAAATAATCCTTTCATTCGTCGTCGCGTCGGTTCAAATATTGTTGGTATAGAGAATGAAAAACTATTTTTAGCGTCGAAATGAAGAAAATTATAACTGACAAAGCAAAAGTAGAAATAATATTCTGTTTTATTGAAAAAAGTAGTAATAGCTACGGAAATACTTCTGTAAGTAAACAGACAGTGAAACAAAATTAAGCTCTGGGTTGTTCCTCTTAATCCTCAAAGTTTTTCTTCTATTATAAAAATACTACCTCGAAGTAATACGATCATATTGAATCCCTATATATATTTGTTGTATGAAATATTTCTAACTTCATTTGTAGAGTGAAGAATTGCGAGAATGGTTATATCAATGTCCGTGGTACAACCAAGATGGCAAGTTCAGGAAGTCAGTCATCATCGCCATGGAACGGATGAGGAGACCCATCATATTCAAGGCTGGTCATTACATACCGCTCTCTAGACCCACGTTTGTTTCGGTGAGCAGTTGCAGGCATAAAAAAAATTAAGATGGTATACGAGTATATCGACGGCTCCTAAGGGCCAATATGCAAAATGTAAATTTTTCAGTGTAGGCGTTTTAAGTTTGATTTCAATGTATCTTGTACATGTGACAACTGATGCTTTTGATCATGAGATACATGTACCTACTTCATTTAAGTTTGATAAACTTTTTTGTACTAGTTATTTAAATAATGTATACAAGCCCTTATGCGTTAAAAAGTGTGCTACTTATGTTTTTTACTGCAATATAAACTTGCAGTCTTTCCACCAACAAACATCCTGTTTTAATGGATGTTGTAAAATTCAGTATTATGAAGTGTTGGCCTTTATACATAGGACCCATCGATATATTATGTATATGTGTACATACGTCTTCAGACGCTACTTGAATTTTAATAGAGAAATGTATAACTAAATCTCTTACATTCCTAGGTGAAAATGGGATTTATGCAAATATACAGGGTGACTGGTGAATTACTATCAATATTTAAGGAGCATACTCGGTACATGATTCTCATTCGAATTATGTAAAAAAAATAGGTACTTAATTTTTGACCAAATTTCCGTATAAATAAATAAAGTGTTGACACGTTCCAAGTGTTCCAAGTGTGGACGCGTGCGGCGGCGTGCTGATACAACACCACGCCCCGCGCGCGTATGTGTGAGTGTGAGTGAATACCTAATCTGTAGGGTGTGCACACGATGCGTAATTAATTACATAACTTTTGGTTAACTTTACTTAGAAGTTTATTAATATTTATGTTATATTATTTTTTATTTTGTCATATATGATCGTCAAATATCACGTCCTCAAATATCGATAGTAATTCACCAGTCACCCTGTATACAACGATTTTGTCATATTTTTCCAGGTGCTAAGATTATCGTACTCCTATTTCGCTGTTCTGAATCAAGCTAAGAACAAGTGAGAATTTTTTTTGGGGATCACAAATAAAACTAATTGCATCACAAATTAATAGTTTTATTCAAAGATAAACCGTGTATCTGTTATGCGTTGTGTACATTGACGTCTCAGGCATCACGTGCTGTCTATGGTACTTTTCATTAAAACCACAACAACGATTCAACCATACAAAACATTATAGTAAAGAATAAATTCGTGCGCTTAAATTAAAAAACTTGTACAACCGTTGATCATAACAAACTCGACGTTACATCTACTAGTTTTGATGAAATTCTTCGAAATAGTCAATCTTTCGTCGAGACACAATCATTATTATATTTGGTCTGCAAAGCTGTTTGTTTATTCAAAGGATTCTTCATGTGAATCCTTTATTACTTTACGTTTTAATATTATTTGATATTTAAGAAAAAGCTTTACATCGATGAATCACAGCCTGATATTTGTTCAAGTCACACGACTTATTGTAGCAAAAATATGTAGACATTTACGATAAAATTATTGAACATACACAGTACAGTAATGATATAGAAATAAGAGCGATAGTTTTATATGACAAAAATTAACATAATATTGTTCCTCTTATTGTTAATGTTACAAAGTATCACTGCCAATATATTTAGTTTTTTCTTTCCTCAGACGGAATACAGACAGTTTTCAGGTGTTCATTAAAAATCCTCTCACTCTCACTGTTGTTAAATGAAAGTAAATGTAATAAATGAAAATATATGTTGTTAAATGAAAAAATTAAACTGTCCGTACTCCGTTTGACGTTGCAACTTTGCCGTAACGTGAACAAAACGGCCAAGTTTTTTCAAATATTAAATGATGATAAATGAAAACAAGGACATTCATAAAATCAGTCGTGTTTTTTTTTAAGCTCAGACTAAACGATATACGCCGCTCGACCCGGTACCCTTAGCACGGGTTAAAATCGAAGTTTTTCCAAACAAACTTAGAAACTGTAGGTTTTATAGTAACTCGTACTACGGGCACCGAATCATTTTCAAGTGAGAATTTTAGCGGCATTTTTTGTTTTTAATACAAAGGCATGAAAATATCAAAAGAATATATCACAGCGAATCGCAGACACATTAAAATGTTTATGATTTTTTATCATTAAAGCTTCTTGCATTCAAAGATACATTGAATTTCGACCTCTATCATTACAGGATAGTTAGCGTAGCTTAAATTATTGTTTCATACAAAATATTGATAATAGAAAAGATTACAAACATTGAATTAATTTCAATACATTTTAATATAACCAAAATATATTAATTTAAATATTGTATTTAGCGTATGTGAGACAGTAAGCACAACCGAATGTAAGACGATGTTCACAACGTTGTAATGCTATTAAAAATATATTAGCATAGTATTAATTAAACTTATTATTATTATTATTAAAAAAGAATCAAATCATTTTATATGTGATGTAGGAAATAAAAAACTATCAACTTCTCAACGAGCAAATTGAATGATAAATAAAGCCTGATCTACATTATAGTATCGGTCTTTGTAATATTATTAGATAAAGGTAATACATTTATATTGAAATTAAAATCATTGGATGTCTCGACAGTATCGTGTAGATCCGGCTTAACTGTTCAAATAAGTCGTAAGCTTAGTCCCAGTTTCCATCGTCACACAATATACGGCACGTTAAAAAAATTTTGCATTAAAATCTTTGCTCATTATAGTATTAAGGTTATTGAATGTAAAACGGAAAACGCGTCGTATGTAGTGTGAGAATTTTCACTTGGGATAAATTAATTGATATTTTTTAATTTCCCATAATATCAATAATATTGAAATTAATTAATATAACTACGTAGAATGTACTCAAATATACGATCTTTTTTAATTAAAATATACACAAAGATCGTTAATGCTAAGGAAAAAATTTATGAGTTTAATAATTAATGATATAAAGAGTTGTAACTTTACCAAAATATACATACATCTACGATACGAGATATAGTATGGAAGATATTTTCTATATAAGCGTTTTATAAAGACTAAATAAAACAGTCATATATATTATTGCACAAATGAGACGCGACAAATGTACTGGAATAGCATTGACAATTTTAATAAATTTAATGAAAAAACCGTTTTTGGGTAAAAAAAAAAATATTAAACTTCATATATAATCGTCGTATGTAGTAATTTCGGTTCAATGTTGTTAAGTTTTTGATTAAGTCATTTACAACAAGTGCTATAATTATTCGTAAAGGTTAAATTATAACCGAGAACTTAGCAGAAAGGTCAAAAGTACCGTCAATGCTAAACTATAGTACATTGCAAAACAAATTTTGAAGAATTTCTTGAATATCTACAACTTGACTGTCGACAAGCAATGATTGGTTCCTAGGTAGCTATAGTAAAATTATATCAGCATTCTACTAACTACAGAACATTCTACTAGCTATGTCCCTGTCGTCTTAATAAACACATCATTCAACTACATTTTATCCATTGAGATACCTAAGACTGAATAGTACTACTGTCTAAAACTACTGACGTCACCAGATAACGCGTTACATATAACAAAACTACCAAATTAAAAAAAGATACATTTCATAGTAGTAAAAAATACAGTTATATTTTTTATTTATTTCCGACAACACATCTGAAAGGCCACAATTTGCGGGTAGTTGCTATTTAGTCTTAAGATATGGCCATGAAAATGACGTGAAATTATAAGAAATGAAGAACGACGATCAAACGCTATTCTCATGGCCCCAATAGATATTACATAGTATTTACAGAAACAAATGCGATCTCAACTCGTCTGCTTGCATTTTGTTTATAAGAAACGCTTATAATACATACATCATTAACTGTATGGATACAAATATACCATACGGGAAAGATTCACAACGAACTATCAGAATAATTCACGCTCACGTCGATATTTTGAGCAAATCATGGCTTTTATAAATATACTTAATACCTCAAACTTACAGGCAAGTACGACTAACAGGCAAATAAAAAATACATAATCAACATAATTAAATTATAACAACAACAAAATCATTAATTTTATAACGAAACTGTAATAACTTTACGACTTAAAAGATCCAATATTTAAAACGTATTTAATTTATCAACACAACTGTGGACTAATAATGAAATAAAAATAAATAAAAAAATTAACAATGGGACTTGAGAAATTCTTTTTTTAATCTATCGTATCGTATTATTGCATTTTATTGATAAAAAAGTTCATTATGAGGAAAAATTTCATCCATTTTGATATAATGAAAGTAAAAAAAATCATACTCAACTGACAATAAAACAAACGATAAAATTAAATTATTACAACTAGCAACACATTCACGAACACACGCACACACATGTAAATGTTAACACGCATATATGTACAATCATTCCTGCTCTTCCCGAGTTCTTTAAAAATGGCTAAAACGCATTTTCTTCTATTATAGCAACAAAATTCGATATTGCCGTGTTTTTAAATGCGTAGGAATACATTTACTATTTAAACCAATACTACGTCTAATACTATTATAATAAGGTTCACGATCGCGTGCGATGCAGAGACGACATAAAAATCAGTCCGAACAAGCCGATAAAGGTTTAATTTGAAGATGTACCTAAATGCTACGACATAGGGTTTATTTTTTAATGGAAACCTTTCGACTGGACGGGATTGTAGTTTGATATAACCCGACTGAATGAAGTAGTGTCGAATGTGTAAGCCTTGTTCCTTATATCTAAAAACGTTGAAAGCGACTTCTCCATTCATCCGGATTATACATTACCGCAACAGGGCTGGACTTAGAGGTCATAATTTTTTCGTCTTTTAAGACTATGGCCATGAGCTTTGTTGGCAACTAAAGTCAAAACCTGATCGTTTGACTAGATTTAAACGTTTCACATCTATGTAACAACGAAGTGTGACAAATACCGGTATTAAAGGGAAAAGTTTGATATTACAAACAATTTGAGCTATTTATAAAAATCTAGGAATATTTGGATACATTTAAAAGTAGACCCGACATATTTTTTACGTCCTAGATGTTTCCTAGTTTCACTCACCGCGGTGTTGTTTTTATCCAATACCTGGAAAAAATATTAAAATTATTATGTGAATAAAAGAATGACAAATAAAAAATATACGTTGGTTTTCAAAGGGTGTGGGGGAGGGGGGAGACATTAGATGAAATGAAAATTAAAAAAAATTAGTATATTCTATTTAATCATTGTCGCCACTTATTCTTGAGACATGTATGTCTATAATTCTGTAGAATTGAATTAAAGAAAGAGAAGAGAGTTAAACGATTGTAAAATAATAAAAATATTTTACAATTTTCTATTTAATATATAATTAAGTGTTTGTTAGGCTCATGGAGTTCATTAAATCTTTCCTAATTATAATTTAAGTACACATTTTATGCCATTTATTTTGAACGCAATTTTTTTAAGGTTATTTAGCATTTACACAAGTGTTAATTTTTGTATTTCCAAATATTTATTATTTTATTATTGAATTAAGTATACAATTTAGAATAACTATTAGTTCCTGTACATAAAGGGTTTTCATTTAGTGTGTAGTGTTGCAATGACATCTTGTATTAAATTACTAACATAGTATATTATATTCATTTCAGTTCTACTACAGCACTGACACAGCTTCTGGATTTCCAACCGTAATTCTATAACTTAAGGTCGCTATTTGTATGTAACATTCATAAAACATTACTTCCATACACTTGACTCTTGAACATCTCAGATCATATGACCTGCAATGTATATATGATGGATCATTTGACTTTGTAAGCTGATTTATACCTTATTGTAAACATCTAAGGTTCAAACTCCAAGCTCCCCGTACTGCACGGACCACTTCTCGTATCCCACGAGGCTGAGAGGTGACACCGAAGGTCTGATCCGCTTGAGAGCGTCCATGAAGTCCTGGAACGTGATGCTACGAACCAGCGACAGGTCCAAGCACTTTACCTCCTCGGGGTCTAACTCTGTGAAACATTATCACGTTATTTATACTACATAAAGTATGTATCAAAAATATATAATGATATAAACCAAGTAAATAAATGGAGTTATGATTGAAGAGAAAAAAATTAATATCACTAGATTTTTTAATATTTCCAATTGATGACGTTGGAGTTACTTAAACCGAGCAACAAAAAATATTGGAATATTTTTTTATTACAGAGCATTTGATAGAGTTCATATTATAAGATAGTCACTTTACAAGAAATTTTTTAACTAAACCAAAAACTTTTTACCAAATATTTCAGCAAATACGATTTATCCGTTTGTTTAGACTTTGGAGTATGTGTCTCTAAAGGAGCTAGCCATTTCCTTTTAATTCATGTCTACATGAGTTATGACAATTTCTTTTTTAATATTAGGTCATACATTCTACTAATATTATAATTGCGAAAGTTTGTGAGTGTGTGTGTATCTTTGTTATTTCTTTACGCTCAAACGGCTGAACCGATTTTGATAAAATTTTGTATACAGGATGCTGACGTCCAGGAATAACACATAGGCTACTTTATATCCCGGAAAATGTTCGACCTGATAATCCGCGGGTAACACCGCGGGGCGCAGCTAGTATACTATACAAGTCTCACCCCGTATGGGTCCTAGTGCGGCGTCTCGGCAGAGGGCGGTGAGGTCGCTGCCGGAGTACCCGTCAGTGAGGGCTGCGAGTCGCGCCAGCTCGTCGTCAGTGATGGAGGCCGCCGCAGCTCCTCTCGTCAGCACCCTCCGCAGTAGGGCTCCGCGTGTGCGACCATCAGGTAATGATACGTACACACGCTTGGGGAATCGTCTGCGAGTGAAATAGAGATCATATTTTTTTATTTCTTTTCTATATGACGAAGGGGGTAAAGTCACCACCCTAGTTTTTGGAAGAGGGAGTGGAAAGAATGGGAGAAGGGAAAGGGCAATAAAATCACTGTGAGCTTTCAAAGTTGGGTGAAAAAGGATTTGCAGCATTTGTTACAATCTTGTTAGTGGTGTCATGATCTAGGTATTCGGTAAACAGCAAATATTTATGGTGAGTAGACATCACCTGTCTTGGATCTCATAACTTATTTATAAATTTATACATATTTTGTAATAATCTAATCTTTTTGTTAGGAATTCAAGAAGTCTAATAATAACTTAGCTTCTATTCTGACAAATAATTTGCAGCATGGAGAACTGTTTGGGAATGCAAAAGACTAAGCACAAACCTCTTGACCCTTTTCTATTAACATATTCTTGACCCTATTACATTCATTATATATTAATGAACCACCGCTTCGTGTTAATTAAAAGTGACTGCACATTTTATTTCACACGGACTAAAGACATTTTGACGCGATTTTTACGGAATTTCCTATTAATATTTATACATATTTGGATCGGGAGGTAAGTCTTTTTGATGCCAGAATCAGAGGTTATTACAGTAAATATGTTATGAGTAATTTATATAAATGAAACTTATATTTATGCATGCTTTATTAATGCGTGACATTGGACGCATTCAGACATTCTCATCTCGTCTGTCCATAATCACGGTTGCTGAAAAGTAACCGAAACGTCTGGTAATGTCGTTTTTTACAAAAATAGACCACGAATAGTATATCCGAAAAATATTAATTTCATTTTAATGAATATTCTAGAGTCTTGTATATATCATGTGTACCTTAGAGCAGCTTCGTCTAACTCCTGCGGTCGGTTGGTGGCTGCCATCACAATGACCCTGTCAGCGCCGGCGGCTGGCAGTCCGTCGAATTCCACCAAGAACTCAGTCTTCAACCTCCTGGACGCTTCATGCTCGCCCGTCGATCGTTCGCAAAGCAACGAGTCCACTTCATCAACGAAGATTATAGATGGCTATCAAAGGTTATATTTTGTTATCATGAATTTTTATATGCAGTTTTGTTAATATTCATTTGTAATATTGTTTTTCAAATGTCAAATGTATCCTCAGTAAAAACCATATAAGCAAGAAGCATGCAGTGATAGCAACATTAGATATTTAGTTTCGTATTTAAAATCGCGACATTATTATTTTATATTTTTAACAGACATAACGATTACTTGCACTATGTAACGGCGATGAATTTTTTCATAATATTGTAGCGAAATCAAAACCGAAAATCATAGTCTCATGTAAACATAATATTCATAACGCTTAATACCATCATCAATTTCCACGAGCAAATTTCATGAGAGCAAATAAGTTCTTATTTCCAATTAGCACTATTAAATTAAGATATTTTAATAAAATAAAAAAAATCTCTTTAATATAATAATGTGCTACAAATATCTAATTATCATTACTTTTAGATCACTCCTACCATTTGGTATACCTACCATAATACATTTATATTCACTGTTCCATTCCAAATCGTGATAATGCTACCCATGCTATGCCCAAAACCTATTACTATAGGTACAGTAATACCCCGCTTAACGCGACCCCGTTGTGCGCGGTTTCACTATAACGCGATTTTTAAAAATTTATTCAGGTTGGGACATTGCAGAGTATACTTAGGAAATAATGATGACCGTGTCTTGAACGTGTGTCAAACGATTAAAAACAGTGTTTGGTGTTATGAACGTATTTTACAACAACGTAAACAAAACGCTACCCAAAAGACAATACATGTATTTTTTCGTAAAAAAATAGGAGTACCTATGTATTGTATAGTGTTCTTAGAATTAAAGAGATTGATTAAATTGATTTTTATATTTGTGTATTAAATTTTGACTGTGTTTAATCATAAACCTCGATATATGCGAATTTCAGTTAACGCAATTTTCTTCGGAACGTATCCCTCGCGTAGAGCGGGGTATTACTGTATAGGTATCGTATTCAATGAGAGTAACATTATTTCCCTACCTGTAGTTCCCTGGCCACTTGGAACAGCGCCCTCACCATCTTCTCCCCGTCACCCACGTACTTGCTAGTGAGTGACGCGGCCGATATCGAGAAAAACGTGGCGGAACACTCCGCCGCCACGCATCGAGCCAGCAACGTCTTACCTGACAATAACATATTAAACATGTTTTATGTAAAGTATCAGACTATTTTGGTATTGTGGATCAAACTAATTATATAACTTACCGTTACCGGGAGGACCAAATAACAGCAGACCTCTTGCTGGTGATCGTAAACCAGTGAACAGTTCTGGTCGAAGTGACGGCAGCACTACCATTTCTTGTAGCGCTTGTTTGGCTGCCTGTTAAGATGTATTTTTTATAAATACCTTCGAACAGATATATGATTGAGAAGTTTGATTGTATATCCTACCTCCTGTCCAGCGATATCATCCCAATGAACCTTAGGGCCACCCTCGACGATCTCGTCCAATATTAATTGGACCAGCTTCGGGTCCACGCCTCGTACTGCGAGTGTGGGTTGAGGGGTTCTACTTCTGGTGGGCGTCCCTCGCTGGGAGCCACCTCCAGCGGCCCGACGAACAGGAGACCCGTTCACTGGCACCTGGTATGCACTCTACGTGTGAATAGTAGAGCAGAATGATGATGATATATGGTTAGTGAATTAGAAGTGAGTAAGATTGGAAATGAAATTTTTAGTTTTAGTTCTGGTGATTATTAAGGGACTTTGTTGTTAAAATGAAAGAAATGAGATGCCAATGTCATGCCGTTATAAAGCAAGTTAGGTTGAAGCATGATCCTTTTTTTATTAATTTTGGTCTTCCCTGGATAAATCTTACCGATAGCTGTCGTTTCACAGCGGGCGGTGTTGACGCTGGTTTGACAGGGTATCTGCTGTAACCGTTGGAGCTGTTCGGCTGTGATGAAGACCTGCCCATGGACCGCGGCAGGGTCTGAGACTTCATCAGAGGACCCCCGCCGGGTACCCTCCGACCCGCGGTCGTCAGCTTACGACCTGCGACTAACGAGATAAGGGACTAAGAATAAATCTCAAGATAAATCCTCTAATGATAACGCCAAGTAACGTTACGGATTTCAAACATTCAGGTCTTATTAATGACGATTATGTTAAAAATGTAAATAGTTAATTCCGTAGTTTACGAAACTAACCTAAATTCCATAATATATTTTACTGCTACTGATTTATAGAAAAGATAAAGGGTATAAATTTTTATATATATCTGAGTTATATATAATATAACCCAATCAGTTCAAAATGCTATTTATTTATAAACTACTAAAAGTCAGTACTATAATAAGTCCATGTTTGCGAGTACTATACATTATCATAAAATGCAGAATAGTCCTTCCATATATTATGGTATAAAATTAATTTTATTGACATAACTGTACTCATGACATTTGCGGAATAATTGAATAAAAAAAGTATTATAACACACATGATCTTAGACACGATACAGTTCTGTTCAAACATAGCGAGAAGAATTTACCAACTGCCATCGAAAATTTAATATGAAAAACGTAATGTAAAAAATATTACAGCAGTACAATTAATAATGGCTATGACATATATGCCAATTATTAAATGTGGCATTCTGTTTTAATAATTTATTATCGTGACAGGGCGACCTCGCTGACCATAAGAATTTTCGTTTATTAACCCAAATAAATATACATAAATCACGATATTAATAATATAAGAGTCAAAGAATTATATTACATTTTACATTGCTGACGCTTTCACAATGTTCAGAGACCTTTAGGCTAAGAGGTTCAGAATATTTGCTCAATAAAATAATAGGCGGACGAATTAGCACAGTAATATATCGTCTTGGTCTACGCTAAAATTAGTACTAGCACAGCTGAAGCGGGTCATGCAAAAGTTAGTTCTAGACAATCAAATACTATCTATATAGTGCACACTCAGATCAACGAACTTTTTAAAGATAAGATACAGCTCTAATATCAATAGAACATTATCTTTTTATAAAATCATATTTGTACTGACATGATTTTAAACTTAGGTTCATTGAAAAACACTTAATTTTTTTATTTATGGTAGAAAATATAAAGTATTTTTTATACTAATATGAAATATGAATATTGAGTAATTTTTATTATGGATACAACGTTGGAGTTTTATGTTCACATGAAGACCTCGAAGCTCGCCTACGCCCTAAGCGATTTGATTTCAATCACAGTCTAAAGTAGGCTATACCGCTCATACTGCAGACTCCATTGTTTGATTTTCCGGTAGCCATTCAATACATACTCCACAAACTGCGGCACTAATACACACGACGGTACTTTGTATCAAACTTTATTTATAATCCATATTCTATTTTTTTGTGAGAAATTAACGAAAAGACCGCCAACGATATTTATACCAGACGAATCTAGGGCAAGCTTTATAATATTTAATCAAGTGAGTGGATATAAATAGTTTGGAATATAAAATGTATACCTGGTTCAATAATAGAATTTTTTTAAACTTCATTAAATCGCTATAATATTCTTGTAGAGTGTATACATTTTTTTATTAGTCAAGACTATGAGACAACATGAGATATTACCTAACAATGCTTAAAACATACGCAAAGTTTACCGTTTCTCATTCAATTACCTATATTAATAGAAAATAGTGTAAAGATTTATGAATCTTAAACTGTTAACGCGCCGTATGTAGTGTGAAGTAGCGAACTAGTGGTAAGATTATTACAACGTCGTTCCGGCTGACATTATCATTGATCGAAATTAAAAACCACACACGCGGGTGTCGAAATTGGGACGCGAACAACAGCTTTATGCAATACTTTAAGGATAAAGGACACGCCTCAAAAACAATTTTATGAATACATACATACATAACTATCAAAAAAAAATACATACGCATACAATCAGTTTAAAACTTTAAAGTTAAAAGTCAATTTGATAGAATAATATACTTATTATGATGAGATCTAGGACTTTCGTGAGTATTCATTTAAATGAAACTAATATTTTCGGATTACTTCGCGATGATATTTCGTCTGCCCGTGATCACGGTTTCTGCAAAGTAACCGAAACGCCGCTACTATGTACGTAGTTTTTAAACATAATAAATTACGTCTAGTAATCCAAAAATATCAGTTTCACTTTAATGTAATATTTCTATATTTTATAAAAGAATCTTAAAAGAAATAATTGGTTTTAAAATTAATTCTAACACATCGAGCGTACAGTAAATTATTCCCGATATAAAATACCGTGCCGCAGACTGCACCAAAAAGTAAAAAATTAATGATTTCTTACGGTATTATTCGTATTAATGTTTCCTTTGAAATATTTCACTAGCATTCGTATCATGGCTCTCTTTAAGTGAGTCACGTTATTTTAAACTAATCCACACTACTTTCTTTACGATAGATTCCATTTTATCTGACAATTAATGTATTATACGATAGACGTCTTCGCGCATATTTGACTAATAAAGATATAAATTAAATTTATGTATAGATATTAAGTTAAATTAGAATTATTATTATATGTAATGTATCACTATTATTCCCAAAGAGGGTTGATGTCAGGCAGGCGGCCGGTCGTAAAAACAAATAGCCAAAAACTATTCACAACATGTAAGGCAGACTCTGGCTATAACTGGGAAATTGCCAGGTAGAAGAAATGTAATGTATCACTATTAGTTATTTACGACATCTGTACCACTTGATAGATTCAGTATTCTTTGAATATACTAGGAGCGGTATAAATATGCATGAGACATACCATGAGACAATAAAACAGAAATTTATCCTGACAATGTGACAAAGAGATCGAGACACATTGTACGGTAACTTGTTAGAGCAAAAATTGTATGAAAACCTGTTTCTACCCGACTGTGTAAAAAAAAAGTGAGTCGTGTTTTTACCCTGTATGTGTGTCAGCGTTTTGAAAGTCGTTCCCATACACTATATAACATGTTGTTTTCAAAATTGTTATGAATATTTGATAGAGATTGTTAATTGATTGTATCTTTTAACACTTCAAAGGTCATCTTGAAGGTTTTTCACGACTTCTGGCCTCACTTAAACTATTTTGTAATGACGGTGTGAAATTAGCAACAATCGTTTTACGCAGATTTGGGTATATTAAATGTTAATATTAATTGAATAATCTAGTTTTAGTTAGTAGGTTATATTTCAGTATAAAAGTAATAATATTTGGTAGGTTTTCTATCGTTTTACGATCCGTACAACTCTAGAAAGTCTATTAATATATTGGCACTTGATGAAACTAACGGTAAAATGTAATGGGATTTTTATAAAAAGACTTAATTATATTACTGAAAGTAACAGAAACGAAGTTTTATAATTTCGTGACTTAGATTTAATGGATACTTCTCTATTTTATAAGATTAATTATTCGATGTTGTATTTATTTTTATAAGCAATTTTGTTTTAAACTCTTTACGTCCTATAGGAATTGAAAATATATAAAATATTTCTCAAGTTATTATTATTTCCAAAACAACGTAAGGTTTTAATGAATAATACTCATTAGCGAATATAATCTTCTTCTACCTGGCAATTTTCCAGCTTTAACCAGGGTCTGCCTTACATGTTGTGAATAGTTTTGGCTAATCGTTTTACGAATATAATATTATTATAATTCGTCTGGTGTTGCAAAACATCTGTTAAAATTTAATACATGAACATGAACAATATTTGTTATATAAAATTTAACAAAACATCGCGTCTTTAAGTACTTATACGTAACATAATAAAGGTGAAACTCTCAAATAAAATCGTGAGATCAAATATATTGATATATATTTTTTTCTATTTGTAAATTTTGGTGTACGTCCGTTAAGTCACGGCGGAGTAACGGTACAAATGGGTGAGTAACTGTGAATAAAGGCAAAAAAAGAACTGATCAAATAATCTCCATTGTACCCAAGTCTATAGTTTTATTGGTGGGTGTTGACTCAGAGAAGTTTTGTAATTTTATGTCACAACTTCGTACTTATCGTAGCTAGTACTTATTAATTATTCATATGAGTTTTACAGATGTTTTTTTTAGAAAGTACCTATCTAAAATTACAAATTTTATTTCACAATCGACAAATTTTTGTTTTTCAGATATATTGAATAAAAATTCAGTTTTTTAAGTCTTAGTGAGTAGATATGTGTATATTTATGTATTTCAAAACGAATTGATTATTGTGAACTGTATAAAGCTTTAAGTTTATAAGTAATAACAAAAATATATTAATAAACAACCATACTTTTAATTGAGAATATATATAAGTCTAGCTGCAGCCGACATGTTCGCGGGAATTAATTAAAAACTAAGTAATTACATAGCCGCACGACAAACACATTACCCTTACCTTATAAAGTCGGGATTAATTAAATGTACAGACGCAGTGTATTACCGTTTTATTTGTATTGTTACTGACCGATGTCAACGGAACAATGAATTCGTAATATTTTTTTAATGGTGCATAGAAGTCATTGTCTCGACGCCAATCGAGCGTTCAAGCACCAAATTCAATAATTGACAAGCTCCCAATTTAACGGTTTGATTGATTTTGTTTGTATCTATTATAATAATATTACTTTATGAAAGATTCGTTAGTGTATCCCCATTAAATACAACTTTAGACGAAAATCTTTATATAATTGAAAAAATCGACTCATAATTTCATATTTATCGTAAAAAAAGTGAAAGTTTTTTTTATTTTATTTTGGATTTATTGCCACTAAAATATCGGGTGTCGTCGGGACGGAACGAGTTTGTTATGATAAAATCACATTTCCATATCCAAGTAGTTATCTGTTGAAAGGAAACTTCTTCAAGGTCGTAGTAACAATACGTTTTGTTCAAGTTGTACTAGCTAATAATCGTTTTGTGTGAAATAAAATTAAAATATAAATATTGCGTGAAACGAAACATCTTAACATTCAATGTATTCACGGTACGGGTGCCGGGTCCATCGTTGTAGGGAGAGGAGCTTCAACAGTGCCTGGTACTTGCGAGCCAGGTGTAGGTTTAAAGGGCCCCTATATAACGCGCATTAAACGCTTACCATCATTTATATAGAATAATAAAATTTCTTTTTATATAACGTTATATCAGCGGATGGAACTTGCCCTATCGTAACCTGAACCCATTGTGGTGACAACTCGGTCGGAAACTAATGTGTCCGACTCATCGCGTTTAAAGGACCCTATGCATTGATAACTAACATAAAAAATACTATACATGAAGGACTTATACAACAAAGACTTAATTTTGATCCAATCATCGAATACTTATTATGCAAACTGGCCGATAAAAAACTTTAATTACACCCAAACATTCAAAGGATTTTAAACATCAAAATCATTATAATTCTCATGCAAAATAAACGCATACAACATAACCCTTCTATAACAGTGTTGAATCACGCCCTATAATCACTTCACGCTAAGTCTAAATGAGGGATAAGATTTCTATACTTAGAATATGAGTAGTAAGTTGATACGAAAGTCTGTAACTTGAGTAAGCTGGACAGTTACAAAGAGATCTATTTTAAGCTGTGTATTGATGACATGCTGTTTCTTACTATCAGATGTATATCTATGTCCCAGACTTTTACTAGCGAGGCAATAAACTTAGTCACAGCGCCCTTGGATGCGAGGGGTTGAGAGGTCATGACCGTTGAATATTGCTTTTATCGTGTAAGGTCAGGTATATTGCACCAATCGTGAATATGCTCACGTACAAGTTATCCTTAATAACTTTTTATTTTAACTGGATATCAGAAAAAAATATTTTATATACTTTAAATTAAACATTCATATGTTTGAGACAATTAATAATTAATCGTCCTTCAAATAAGTCTGGCTGAATTATTGCCGACGTATAGTTCATATGAATGAATGATATTTTTTTAGTAACAAATGTTATGCAGTTAAACGTACATCGCCATTTAATAAGACCATAAGGTATGTTGGCATTCGTGGCATGAGGCTGTAAACAAGTGGCATTGCATGTTGGACTCGCATTCCCAACAAAGGCACATTCAACCGTTTATCTTTTGTCTATGAACAATGCAACTGCCATATTAATACAAACATTTGTTTATGGTTAAAATTAAAAAATTTTCATACATCTCAAAAAGCTACACACGCGTATCATGTTAAATATCTACTGATAATAATAATACTTAAACAATAAATATATATGTTACACGGAAAGCAAAATAAAAATAAAATTTTGCAAGCACAGTGGAACCTACATGCAAACACGGCTGTACGGAAAAAAAAAAAACAAAATTCTCTATAGTCGAAAAACTGTTGAGTTAATGTCAGGGGTTATGTGAAAGTGAGATTCTCAAAAATGTTGCAGTAGGTTACGTCAAACGAAGCAAAGCTATGTTTAGTATTCTACCTTCATTTGGTGGCTTCGTTTGACCACTGTTACTTTCTGTGTGTGCTAGTAGCGTTGTCTTGGACTTCTCTAATGGCCTTCTCACTTTAAGAGGAGACTCCGTAGGTTTTTTTTCACTTCTCTCAGGCTCACTCTCTACCCCCAACTTACTGAGGGCGACTAGGTTGGCTACATTGGGGGACAACATTTGAATTAAACGATTTCAAAAGGACTGTGTCATATGAGTATATCACTTTAATAAACTGAAATTAACAAGCGTTACATGCAATATACAGCCAGGATCTAAAATTAAATAAAAAGCTTAGTCATAGGATAGCTTAAAATAAATATGGCAGTGTAATACGACTTATGTTCGACACTTACTGATAGTATGACTAAAATATAGATTACCGAGGAAATGTAAACGGTCCTTGGCCATGCCTAGATTGGTTTTCATCTTATCGTGGAGCCTCTGGGCCCTCTGCCAGGCGTCCCCTCGACCCCCCCAGCAGTCTACTGCAATCCCTCGCTCCAATTCATAGATACCCTTCTTGTACAGTTCTATTGCTAATTCTTTTTGTCCTGCGTTAGAAACAAGTCAAACTAAATGCCTAAGCCTACTATAGTTACAAGTTGAGCACATAAACAACTTTATGCAATGGTGGCTACGAAAAATAATTGCTAATAAAATGTATATAATTCAGCTAAAAATATAATTTTATTTAAATATAAAATCATAAGTAACACAACTCATATAAAGCTCATTAAAAGCTGTAACTCACCCTCATTTTCTTCGTCAATCTTCAGCGCTTTCGATATGTACTCAAAAGCTTTCCGATGATGATGTTTTTGTTTGGCAAGAAGAGGATCCCCGGGGCCCACATTGTTTACATACGACATCTCCTCACTGTGCGCGATCTCAGTTGACACAACACCGTCTTTAACCACCACTTCTAAGTTACACTCGCCGTTCTTACGAGGCCTATGAATGAAACGATGGGACGCCGAATACAAATATTTGAAAATAATAAATAACTGGTACAAAACGGACCTCAACAAATTAAAGAGAATAATGATTGGGAAGGAGACTACATAGAGGTTCCTCTTGTGGACTGAAGGTTGCGAATCATTTCGCAACGCTGATCCTTTTGCTATGTCTGCATCTGTCTTCTTAGATTTTCGGTTTGGGGACCTAGTAGTTTTTCGCGATAAACGACCACCATTGAAATCGTCACCCGAAACCATCAAGTACAACGAAGTTCCCACTGGTTTAACACCAAATAGCCATAGACTTATAACGCAGACACGCACGTTTATTATTCTAATAAAATAATCTAAAAACAGCTAGAGTACATGGTGATGACTGAAGAGGTATTGACAATTTTTGACGTCTTCATTATAGAGTTGGCACAATGAAAAAAACGGTGTGGTCTGTCTTAATTTTTAGACAAAAAAATATAAATATAATCAAATATTATCAATTTATAGAAATGGCATTTATTTCTTTTCATTACCTTTGTAAAATTACAGTAAATAGTAAAGTAAGAGATATTTAGTGCTGTATTACTTACATAGATTCGTAGGTTTTTGCACGAATCCAAAATGTGACGTTGACATTTTCAATATAGGATTAGCTGGTCATAAATTTGGCAGATTAGTTGCGGCTGGAAGCTTATTATTTAAGTATGTAATAAAAGAAAATAAACTATTTTATCAAGATAGTTAAAAAAATACATAATTTAATTACTATTATAGATAGAGCGATTTAGATTTAAATCAATATAAGGTATGTTTTACTAAAGTTTAAGGTTATGTCATATTTCTGCATATTTTGAGAAATAAAATACTTTAAAAGATTTTTTTCTTATTAATTTTGTAAGACTGGTTTCAGTTATTTTGTTATTTCATCTACATCTAAAAAGAAAATAAATCATATCATATTCAATGCGTTTTAATTTTCTGAATAGTTTTTATGATTATTACAGTTTTAAATAAAGCCATGACTGAGGAGCAAATAAATGATCTATCAATACATGAAGATGATGATGTCGTGGATCCCTGGAATGTAGCTGGAAAGTCTGAAACGGGGATAGATTATGACAAGCTTATCAGTAATTATTTCTTAGTGTTATTTAATAATTCTACTATTATTTAATTTAAAATAAAATAAAAAAATGTATGCATTCATTATATTTTATGTAAATATATAACACATGTATAAATTACTTATAATAATAAAATCTGTATTGTAATTTCATAATTTTCTAATATAAAGCTAAATAAGAATAAACATAAAGAAAGATTCATAATACACATTAAATAAGTTTGTTAATGAAACCATAAATTATTCCATAGAAAGATTTGGCAGTCAGAAAATAGACGAGGAGGTTATAGCAAGATTCGAGAAGGTTACTGGCAAGAAAGGTAAACAATAATTTGAAATTTTTAATACATATTGTCGGGGTAGTACCAAAACTTAAGTTGAAATATTTTCTATATTAAAGAATTATCCAATGCTAGTTACTCGGATTTGCACTATCCCCGACAATGTTTAGAAATTGCTTTGTCCAGCTGAAATGATAAAAGTAACTATACTATTTTTCTCAGCTCATCACTTCCTAAGACGAGGCATATTCTTCTCTCACAGGGATATCCACAGTATTTTGAACCTGGTGGAATCCGGAAAGAAGTTTTATTTGTACACTGGGAGAGGTCCATCTTCGGATAGTATGCATATAGGACATATGATACCATTTATGTTTACAAAGTAAGTTAGAAACTGACGATTATCATTTGTTTCTGGGGTCATCAAATTGCTAATGTTCAATACAAAAAAGACAGTTTATAGTGACTATTGGTACTGTTTAGTTCTCTTTGGTAAATAATTTATTTCATTGATAAAAGAAGCATTTGTTCATATTTGAATATTATGAAATAAAAGTAATATATTATAGATTTACTATTTCTATAATTATTTTTAAGAACATACTCAAGATGTTTCGGTTCCTTTGCAGCAAGTTTGAACACATGGTTAGATGAGATGTAAAGTCGGGAATCTTTGTAGTAGTAAACCAAAAAATATTTGTCTAATTCCAATAAATATTTGCAAAAATGTTAGATTTCATTATTAGAATAATATGTTTAGCTACAAATTATTCTTTTGAATTCATCAAAGTATATTTTTTTTTATGATAATATGAATATATATTATTTTTATGTAGGTGGTTGCAAGAAGTGTTTGATGTTCCGCTGATAATACAACTTACTGATGACGAGAAGGTTATGTGGAGGGATATAAAGGTAGAAGATGCAAGACAGATGGCTTACAGCAACGCCAAGGATATCATTGCAGTGGGATTTGATCCATCAAATACATTTATATTCAATGATCTAGATTTTATTGGGTGTGTAAATATTATTATTAATAAATTAGCTTTTAATGTATAAAATATTGTTTGGCAACTAAACAATTATGTATAATTTATTTATTCTAATATTGTTTAAGTAGGCTGATTGAAAGGAGGTTTTACATAAATATACTAGTTGTAATTTCTTATAATTTTGAATTTATATGTAATTGAATGTATGCTTTCAGTCAATGTCCAGCATTCTACCAAAATATGCTGCGGATACAAAGGTGTGTGACGTTCAATCAAGTGAAGGGAATCTTTGGGTTTGGTGATTCAGATGTTATTGGGAAAATTACCTTCCCATCTATAGAGGCGGCACCTGCCTTCTCCACTACATTCCCATTCATTTTTGATAATAAAGTGGTGAGTTTTATATGTCTAATTAATAAACAATTATGTTTTATTACATATAAAAAACTTGAATGCTTCATTTGAAATTTCGATAGCCAGTTTAAGTGTTTTATTGCTCTGTTGCTCCGTTTAAGCAATATATAAAATCCATTGAAACTAAGGCAACCTGATATCTGCATATATGTATATATGATGATATGAATTTGGAAATGTTTGAGTTTTATGAAAAGTTGGACTTCATGTTTATTTTATTAGATTTTTATTAAATAAAAAATGAAATAGCTGTCTTCTCTCGATTAAATACATACCTAATTATAAAAAATGTGTGACGTCACATTGAGGAAGGGGGGGTATAAAATTGGACAACCTGTTACAAGGATGAGGGGGAGGGGATTGAAAATTCTAAAAAGCATGTGACATACTTTATGGAGGGTCCCTAAAATAATATGTTTAACAAATGTATTTGTTCTCTAGTGTATCTGACCTTTATAATTCCCAGGTACCTTGTCTAGTTCCTTGCGCCATCGATCAAGACCCATACTTCCGTCTGACCCGTGACGTAGCTCCGCGTCTTCGTCTACCAAAACCAGCGCTCCTACATGCCACGTTCCTACCAGCCTTACAGGGAGCTCAACACAAGATGTCCGCGAGTGATCCAAACGCATCTATCTTCCTTAATGATACTCCGAAGCAGATTAAGAATAAGGTAAATTATCCTAATGAGCAGAGAAAACAGCCGGCTATACTAAGAGAAATAGAAAGTTCTAGAATCTAGACTATTGTTGAGTTATGGACAAATAATTTTTGATAAAATGTTCATATTGTGAAAAATATAATTAATAAAAATAAAAATTATGTCTATGGTATTGTAATTGATAAAATCTGGATTTTGTTAATTGAATTTCGCTAAAAACGTGGCAAAAAAATCTAGTATATTTAAAAATGTATAATATGTATGTATTCGCTTGCTTTAAATTAAAATAAAACCTTTACAGATCAACAAGTATGCGTTCTCCGGCGGGCGCGCGACAGTAGAGGAGCACAGAGAAAAGGGCGGGAACACTGACGTTGACATCTCATACAAATACCTCACGTTCTTCCTAGAAGATGATGACAGACTCGCTGAGGTAACTATATATACATATATTAAACTAGCTTTCCGCCCGCAGCTTCACCCGCGTGGAGTTCGGTTACATCGCGTTTCCAAGAGAACCTGTCAAAAGTTTGGGATAAAAACTATACTATGTTCTTTCTCAAGGTCAACTCTATCTCTGTAACAAATTTTATTAAAATCAGTTAAGTGTTTTAGGCGTGAAAGCGCAACAGACAGACAGACAGAGTTACTTTCGCATTTATAATATTAGAAGGGATGTAAAGTTATTTTCTTACAATTCTTTGTTGTCTTGTTACTCTAATAAACTTAAGATTTTAAAAAATTATTGCAATCTGTATGTATAATCATAAATTAATATGAGATAGAAGACGCGGCATTATTAATGGATTTTCCGGAATAAAACCTCCTTTAACAATAATGTCATAAATTTAACTTTTTTTTGGCGGTTACATACATTATTTCTTCTGATGTTTCAGATAAAGAAGCAGTATGAATCCGGTGAGATGTTGACCGGTGAATTAAAGAAGATAGCCATCGATACCATAACGCCCATCATCACGGACTACCAGCAGAGGAGGGTCAAGGTCACGGATGACGTCATGAAGGAGTTCTTCGCTATCAGGAAACTCAACTTCTAGCACTTTGACTTATCACAATATATATATAAATATGAATGTATGTGTTATCCCTACTAATATTATAAATGCGAAAGTAACTCTGTCTGTCTGTCTGTCTGTCTGTCTGTCTGCTACGCTTTCACGCCTAAACCACTGAACTGATTTTAATGAAATTCGGTACAGAGATAGAGTTGACCTTGAGAAAGAACATAGGATAGTTTTTAACCCAGACTTTTGAAAGGTTCTCTTGGAAACGCGATATAACCGAACTCCACGCGGCGAAGCTCCTGGCGGAAAGCTAGTATAAGAATAAATGCAGGATTAATTATTTTCATATTATGTATATATCCGGTACGTTGATCTATGTTAAAGGTAAAAATGTTTTGAGTTAAAATATTTATGTCAAATATGGTGTTGATTGAATTTAGTGTATTGCCAGTTTTTATGACAACCTGAAAGTTTTTTCGTTTTTCATAATTTATTATATTTATCATTTAACATACAAATATTTGTATATTTAAATTATAAGATTACTCTTCTGTAGATGTAATTGCTTTAACAACTCCAGAAATTCACATGATCATCTCAAAAAAAGGATGTTTTTAAAATATTTTGCTCTCTTCATTTTAATTTTTTTACATTAATGTTCAGATTGTCCTATCATTGTAACAATTTTAATATTCTAAAATACCTACATGTATTTTATATGTTTTACCCAATTTAATTTTCAATAGTCTATTTATCTATTAAATAAATAGTTTAATATGTAACCTCTAACATAATGGATATATTGTAATGTTCCTGTTCTCTCTTTAACATTCACCCGGCCTTGTAACGGCTGTGCTTAAAGCAAAATTTATTTATTTTCGCTAATAAATCGCATTTTTTTAATTTAATTCTGTTTCATTTATTAATAGTTTAACATTTAAGTGTATAATGAATGAATATATCAATATTTTGGTTTAGTAGTCTTGTTTATCACTTCTGTTAATTATTTAAAAGAATATATTATACTGTATATAATGTGGTAATAAAGTGGCGTATTGATATGGAAAATCATGGAATTAATAATTTATAGTAATTAATAATACATATATTCATTCACACAGTATAATATTTCAATGTGAATTATATTAGAAGTTTTGAAGAGAGTATAGTTCCAAAAGTTTGTTAATTACTTTTCTACAGTAAAGATTCATATTTCTCATTTATAAAATAAGAAATAGACAACTAGAATCATAATTTTTTAACAATGTTCAAAATATTATATTGTTCTATAGATAATCATATTATATGATAAATGTTATAATGAACATATTTTATTCTATAACGGCAAATCTATGAAAACGGAAAAAAAAGTTTCACGAAGCTTTACGCTTACCCTGAGTTTGCATCGTTATATACATCAGTTTGGCACTCGGATATTTAAATAGTAAGTACCTAAGTATATTATTAATGTAGGTTATTAACTCCTTAACGAGAAACGATCCCTTAGCAATGTAACGATGGAAACTTCTGGTAAGAAAGATGCAAAGACGATAGAGTGGTTGAGAATAACTACGTGAAATCTAATTGTAACTACTACACCCAAGATATTTCTTCCGATACAGTTCTAAGGCTCACATTCTGATAAAAAAGTATACATAATATATTCTTATTAAACATAAAACAAATCCAACAATACGAAACAAGACAAACGACTAAGCACTTGTGTACACAATACAAACTTTGATCGAATATGCATCACAATAGACTACGCGGGTAGCTGACACAGTTACTAACTAACACAGGTAGCCTCAGCACGATATTTAACATTTATTTTATATACTTTTTGGACGAAATAGTGTTTCATAACAATTAATAACCTTAAAACAATCCTTTCCACGCAAAAAAGATATAAGTTCTCAATTGAAATGTACGCTGAAAGTTTCCAAGAAGAATCTCCTCTACCTCTGATAAGTACTTACACGGTGATAAAAGAAACAGATGTTGAAGATAAAAGGGAAATAGAAGATCGTGTTATATTAGAAATAGGACGACAGGATGACAGGCAGAAGGAGGAATCTCTGTTTTCCCATAAGAAATACGATAAAACTACATCACACCATCGGTCTTACGTGTTAGAAGATTATGAACCTAGAAGAATAACGTACTACAGACCTCAAGAGATCGAGCAACCCCATGAAGGTAGGGACGCAAATTATTTATTTAGAATCTAATAAATTTTTCATGTTTTGTAAATTTTCTCACAAGTAGGTACGTACTTGACATGTAATTAGCCAAAATGTCGAAGATATTATGTTTTGTAAATACATTTTTTTTGAAACATAATGCAAAAACTAATATTTTATTTGATCTATCAACAGTAATAATTTAGCAATTCAGATACTTAAGTACTTATCGCAGTGGTTTACCAAAATTGAAAATTTTTCGTCACTAGCGAGGTCAAAGATAAAACTATTATCGGCGAATTTGTCTATTGTTTTCCGTCCATTAATTTTCAAATAAATTTTATTGTTCTATTTATAAAACATCCTTATTAAATTCGTTGGAGTGTTTGAAAAATTTGTATAAATATTCAAGGTTCAAGGTACTATGATCACGAAGACTACAGGGACCTGTTATCACATGATGCCACCAGCTCAAAGTCACCTTTGGAGTACTCGCAAGAATCTCAAGATACTGGCAAGTTTTCAGATGATCAGGACCACTTGTTGAATTGGAAGGAGAGAGCGATACAGTTGGAGAAAGGTACATTGTAAAGATTACTTTTATATTATGGTTAATATGTGATATTCTACACAAATGAAGACGAAATTACCTATTAGAAACAGTTTTGTATGTAATAAATAGTTGACGGAACTCGGCAAAAAACAAGAAAAAAATTTACTCGTTACTAAATTAAGTGATATTTTTAGTTCCGGTTTCTTGTATTACCCATGTGTGGGAGTAGAATAATTTTTATTATGAATGAACAGCTATTTCAGTACCAAAATGTTTAATTTGAGACGGAAATGATACAATTAAAAAAGATAAGAAAAAAAAACTGTGATAAAAATACTTTGTATATAATTATATAATATAGAAGTATTTTGTAGAATACAAAAAATCGGCGTGTGACAGAGAAAGAACTCGTATGAAGGATATGAATAGAGCTTTCGACTTGCTGAGATCCAAATTACCAATAACGAAGCCCTCCAAGAAAAAGTATTCCAAGATTGAATGTCTCCGGTAACTAACTCATTATTAAATTCTTACATATATACTCAATTTGGAAACAAAATAACATTTTGAATGCTATATATTATTTTAATTTGAATAACAGTTAACTTCATCAAATTCTCTCGTTACATTATTAGCATTACTTTTTCAAAATGAGATCCATTTATTCGTCATATTGATCATTTAATGACATTAAAATATTTCGCTTATCTCATTTTTCTTTTTAAATAGAAAGAATTTTTGTTAATATGTAAGTTCTATCAATTATAATATCATTTTAGAATAGCAATTTGTTACATTCGCCACTTGGAGTACATGTTGGCGGGCGGCGCTGCCGAGGACAACACGTTCTTCGACGTCCACGACGCGGAAAGAAGGAGACCACAAAGATTTTAATAATTTTATAATATATCATTTTTGTTATAAAAAAATAAATCTGTTAATGTATACTTGTCAACTATTTTGCAATAAATAGAGTTCTAAATTTCCTTACTATCTGATTGGAACAACCCAATCATAATTTTAAATTGATCTCTTTCTTATTTTTCTTTCCTGTTCTAACTCTGCCTGCCTTCTTTCGAGGGCCTTGATGTAATCAATGTAAGCGCATTTCAATATCGTAGGGAATTTAACGATACCTGTAAATAATTATATTTTTTTATGCTAATTTATAAAATAAACTAAGTTTGTACATACATACTTACTTAAATAATAAATAAATAATTATTGTTTGTTACCTTCAAAGCAGGTGGTAACTATTCTCTTGTATATTAAGTACATTGGAGCTATAATACTCTCAGATGATTCTTTTTTCTGAAAATAATGTTTTTCAATTAAAAACTACATACTATAAAAAATACTAGGTACTATGAAATAATTTATTTAAAAAATTTGTTATCATTTTTTTTAAATTATGAACATTGTCAATGATATGACCCAATTATACTAGGGAGTTATCAACGTCAAGGAGGCCACTTCCTGCGCAAGGGTATGATTTTGTCCAAACCAGTGATGGCGACGTGACCGTGTCCCTTTTTGTAATACACAACGTTATATTCAGTCAAGGCAAAGTATATATAGGATTTCAGATAATTATAACATTATTTTGCTTTATTAAATAATTAATTATATTATCTGTAATGTAGAGTTTACACTCCGCACACAATTTTTTTTAATGTTTCCAAATAGCTTCTGTGCTATGGTATGGAATGAATGAATACAATGTGCGGAATGACGTCCCTCGTATGCAGCTAACGTGAAGTTACCAGGACCGCATAGCTCCAAGATGTTGTGAAAACTATAAAGAGAAAACGGAATATCATCTGTTCTATTCGGCACGCTACAACCCGGCGCCCAGAAACGACGTGGTTTAAACAGTAAAGTGACTGAGAACTGTGGTTTTATATGCATCAGTTACCAGTCTGCGGAAAGCTACCGACAGCGATGGGACCTCGCCCGAAACGTTGCTACGGGCGACGAGTTTTTAACATTGCTTGTCAGAAGGTATCGAGTACTAGGAACACATGAACGCTCAGGTGTTTACAAATCAGGAACATAGATTAAAAGTCATTCGGCCGCTGGCCTATGGTTGGGAATGGACGTTTATCGTTTGACGTTGACTTGCTCTAGCGTATCTCAATATTGGACTGAAACGGTCTACGAGTATTAGGACATCATGAGTTATGTAGAATTCTTGTTGCGTCTGTTGTATCGAAAGAATGTTAAGATGGCGAGGCATTTTTGTAAATTATTATTTATACCAATTTCATATTACATATATTGAATTGAATGGTTAGGGGGATGTAAATAAGAGTATTTTTAGACGGATAGAGTTTATAAATAAAAGTAAGAAATTCAAATGACTAAAAAAGAAACAAATAAAATATCTACTAAAACAATAATTTAAAGTTAATTAAGAAATTTGTTTTTTTTTTCGGCCGTTCAGTTTATGGGAGTTGAAACAGCAGAACGTTTGAAACATTAACGTTTCCATAGTTACGGTTACCGTGGCACCTATTCGCGGTAACAACTGATGACGTAACTAGGAGGACTAGGACTTCATGAGTTTGTAGCGAGTATATTGTTATCGCAACAAACAGCGCCAGAAGAGTAAAGGTGACCCGTGAAAGCGATGTAAATTGACCTCTAATGCATACTGGTGAAAGTTTCGTTTTGTTTTTAACTCACGATAACGTTTCCGCACTGGTCGAACACAGGTGGGCGTCTAGTGTTGATACTGCGAATATATTCCTGCCAACGCCGAATGCACTCCGTGACGTCTCGTTGGTCGCCCCACACTCCTTGCGAATACGTGAAGTAAACGGCACCTACCAGGATACCAGCCTACGGGGGAAGTTTATTATCACGGCTTGCTTTACTTCCACTGCTACTAATAGCTACGAAGTGCTTAGGAGGTTTACGTTACATTATTTCATGTTGCTATGAAAAGATGTCGCGTGTAATATATAGTTTACTTGTTCTATTTAGTTTACACATTTGTAGTATTTGAATCAGGCATATACTTACTTTAACTGCGTACATCAATTTACCGTGAGGACAAGGTACTGTTTTTACTGGTAAAGCTAGTTTTTTACCACTTTTCCTTAATTTATACTCCTCTTTGCTGCAAACTTTGATGCAAGTTGGGTGTATGGGAAGTTCTGCAATAATTTTTTTACTAGTGTACATATTTATTTTAATATTAGTTTATCTGATGGAAGATTAAAGAATAAATAAATCAGTAAAAATACAGAATGTCTGTCTATTTTTCTCAAACAACATGCATGACAAAGCGATCGCTGAACGAATCTTAGAAGGCAGCCAGATTACATAACTTGTAATAAACACTAGGAAAGCAGAAGCTCAAGGAGCTGTCCTTAATTCGGATGTAAGTTACAATGTTACTCAATCAGATGTTCTTGACGAAAGAGATGGCTATATCGAACTAACTTTGTAGTTTGTACCTTCCTTAAGTTTTGGTTTACTTTAAAGTCTCAACAAAACTTTAATGACTCAACAAAAATTCAACCAGATTCTTAGATACCTACATCTTGATTTTTGAAAAATAATTAATTTATTGTTCATAAATGATTAAATATTAAGAGTAGATTAATATTTTTTCCGTACGGTTGAAAATTAAAGTTGGGCGATGATCACGTCTCTACATAAGTAAGGCTCTACAAAAAGAGAGGTAATAAAAAAATTGTAAACAACAAAGTTTCAACATTGTTTCGTTTCTGTTATTTTCATCACTACGAACAGCTCACCGGTACTAGGAGTGTAGTAAAAGCTAAGAGTTACCAGGGACGCGAGAACATATTTTTTGCGTCGGACTGCACTTCTCATATATTTGCATATCTGGCTTCGGTTGGTTGACATTTTTAGCAAGGTTAATTGTCCGACACGCCTCACATCTTATGCGATCCTGGCTTAAATTTTCACACATTTTGTTGACTATACACTCAAAATTTAGTAAAGACGAAGTAAAAATGGATGACTGACAGAAGATGTTTAGTTTTTATAAACTGATGATAGAGTTACTGTTTTGTTGACAAGTGACATCTAAAGAGTTTTTATTGAGCATTACATGTTTTATTCTTCGGTTATGTCCAACAACATCCTCTAAGATTTTTTTACGCTCCAATTAACAAATTCCTTCACCATTGTATATCAAATAAATAATAACAATAAGGTGCAAAGAACAAAAATTGTGCACTATATTTTACAGTAATTTTTTTTTACATACATAAATATGAAACTTTTTTATAACATTGTTCATTAAATCAGAATCTTTTAACATTCTCTAACTTTTTTTAAAAATTTGGTAATTATGCATGAAAATTTTACTCCACGAGCTTATAACTGACAACTTACTTATATTATTTCGTTTAAAAATTTACATTTGTTGAGCAGTTTCTCAGTTCTAAGTTATGCTTTAACATTAAAACTACATCGTAAACTGAGTTCATTAAAGTGAAATTGTAAGTCGCTGGTCACAAGTGAATTCTCGCTAATATGAGATTTTAGATCAGACTCCAACCAGCTATAGGATGAACAAAAAGACAGATAAATCTAAAACTGAATGGAATAATTACAATTCAAAACGAGATATATAAGAATGGAATCAAAATGAAGCTGTTAAAAAATGGACTAAAAGAAACGTAAGAATTTCTTTAGAAATTTTACCGTTTGAATATATATGTATTTGGAATACTGTTAAAATATGTCCCATAATTAGATAAATATATAGTTTTTTTATATAAAACTCAAACATCGTAAGCAATGGACGTTAACTGACGGATGTAGATACACCCACTCGCATAGCTTCCCGTTGCGCAAAACGCTGCTTCCATACTCACGATCCTAGATAACATAGGCGAATTGCGAAATTTTGCCCAAAATTATTATAATTATTGAATGAAATTCATATTTTTTTTTATACTAGAAGTATATGGAAAATGTTTAATTAACATTAGTATGTTATAATTAAATTTTAATCTATTTAATTTGTATTTCAAGAGATATTTAACATAAAGTTTGGATAGATCTTAAATCAATCTCTACATACATTTATAATAAAATTAAGTGTTTTAACTTTAAGTTAATTCATTGGTTTCATAAAGCTTCTCTGCTGAATGGGTTTTCATGAATGAGTCAGTGGTGGGGGGTGCTTCACGTGGACCTGCGCGGGCGCAGCTACTTGACAGTCCTCTAGAAGCCGCCGCGGTCGCGCGGGTACGCCGCTTGGGAAATAGTGCGGGAGATTCAAAAAGATAAAATTTAGACTTTAATAAATAAAGCTGTGTGGTATACTAGTGTGTTTTTGTGTGTTTGGAGATTTCTTTGTATTTTTTTTCGGGCATGCGCTAATGATGGGGATGTCAACTTTAAGGTGAGTTTTTTTTTGTAAATTATAATTTTGTTTTTGTGATTATTCGTAGATTAGGTTTTCATTATATTTTTTATATGTATTTTTTTAATATCGGTTTTTAAAATAATTATTCTTATTAGATATTTTACTTATTTAAAAAAATCAAATAAGTATAAATTGTATAAATATTTGAATTAATATTAAAAATTATTTTTTACATAAACTAATAAAGTTTGGATAGTTTTTTTTATCGTTTTTTAAGAAAAGTTTTTTCCTAAAATTATTTATAAGTATAAAGTTTTTGAAAAATTTTTCAACAAAATATATATAGATCACAAAATTTTTCAACAAAAATAGTTTCATACTATATCTTTTTAACAATTTAGACTACAAAAAGAAGAGATATTTATTTCAAAGCTTATTTTTTAATTGTTTAAGATTATGAAATCTGTAATAGCTATAAAATAGCATCAGGCGTTATAATAATTCAGAATAATCTCCAGAAACTATAGTATTTGTCAATTTAATAGCAATGAAAATAATTTTTTATAAATATATATATAACTTATCAAACATTTTTTTATTATTATATATCATTAAAAGATTATATGATTTTTTTTTTATTGACAACTTTTAACTTTAATTATTTTTCTATTACATGAGTAAATAATATTCTTTTCTATATGTATAGACACAAATCTTCTTAGACATTGTTTCTGTACTATTGGACCAATAATTGGTGATATAAATTATACATTTACAATCTTACACTTAGTACTTATTGTCATTTCGGAAAAAAAATCACCAATTTGATTCTAAAATATATATTTTCGCCGATGCCTACTTTTTTAATATTGCAATTATATATTTGAATACATATACAAAAGCTCACAAAGCTCTAAACTTAAAAAAAGATGTTCTATTTATTAGATCTATTAATCTACAATAAATAAATTTACATAATAATACCTAAGCCCCTCGAGTATTCATTTAAATAAAACGAATATTTGTTTATCTACTAACCGCTTTTTAAAGTTTAAAATAGTTAAAAAATGAATAGTACATCCGAAAATATTAGTTTAATTTCAATATATTTACGTTTTAGTTTCTTTATGTAATTATTTTAAGATAAATCATCTAAATATATCCTGTACTATGTATGAAAATTATTATCATCACAAAGTGTCAACAACCTTTATCGCCTTTAATTACGTTCCGTGGGTAATTTTCTGTATTACCATCTTTATTACCTGACGCTGGGATTACTCGTAATCAGTTCATAATGCACCTTTAATATAAAAGGGTCTGGTTATCTATAAACTGAATCTCTTATAAGGTCAGCGAGTGTGCTACATCGTAATTTGTTTTATAATGAAGAAATATTCTATTGACTAGCTATTAAACGCGACTTCTTTCTTTAATAAAGTTAAAGATGCATATATTTTTTACGTATATATAATTTGATTCTCAGTCTAAAGCTTTATTAAACATATTTTACAGACAAACCATCAGCTTTTATATATATGTATGTATATAAATTTACGTATATATCCAAATAATTTGCATTCGGTGACGATAAAAACTACGCAAATTGGATTTCACGTCAGTCAGCGGAGTCTGGAGTGAAAGACAGGCGGGAAGCCGCACACGAACTGGATCTTGGAAGAAAAAAAACGAGCCCAGATTAAAACTAAGCCTATTGTTCCTTTTAGCCCGCCGTCCCGACACACAGAGTGAAATTCTCAACCGCTCATACATATATTTATCGCCGGTTTTGTGGCCACTGCTGCGTATAATTAAATCGCAGATTTAGATAAGGGATGAAGAAATATTTCAGATAAATCTAACCGCTATTCCATTGTGATAGGGGATCTAATCGTTTGAATGTATTATTCAAGTTGTATTTTTGGAAACAGTAGGTAGCGTTAGGATTTTGCGCACGCGATTTCTTTGAAATAGCGTTTTCGGATTCGCCGATACTTTTTTGTTTTTCATTTAAGTAATATCGGTCATATGCTTAAAGTAGTTCCTTGGACATTCTTTTACTTTACTTTCTTAAGTATTATTGACATTAAGTAATACATTGAAACGTTTTAACTTGTACATTGCGTAATCTCATACAAAAGGCTATTTAGTATGTGAAAGTTTACAAATTAGTTAGTTAAATTATTCTTAATTTTTCAAAGGAGTAACGTTTATGGCTCTATTCTTAGTATTTCAAACATTTTGAGAGCCCCCATTAAACCTATATAGGTCAAAGCATCAAACAATGGGTTTTGAACTGTATTTTACGGTTCTTGTGTAATCTAGACTAAAATAAAACATGTCTAACGAACACAATATTAAAGTACAGTAATTGGTTAGTACAGAAAATTTAGCCAGATCAAACAGTAATCGTTTCTTAACTAGCGCTTAAAGGAATACGTTTAACAAATGAGACCTAGACTGAGAATAATCGATTGCCTGAAAACGGACTTAGTGCTCAAGAAGCTCTTAGCGTCTATGCTATCCTAGTACTTGCAAGTACATAATAAGACCTAGGTCTAGACTTTAGACAAACTAGCCAAGTCGTTCCGTCTAGGTATAACCAGTCTAAATATAGACCTTGTTTTATTATGGCTGAAGATCTTACATACTAGTTTCGCAACTCGGCTTTGCTTATCAGAATTTTAATATAAAACTAATTGGTTTAGTATATTTTAAATATAATATATGAACCAAATAATATAGATACAAACATACATTTAAAATAGCTGTATATTAGTGAAAGTTCTTTGAATTCTGTTTATAAATGTTTTAGGATGTTCTTCATCACTTGTAAACGATGTTGGAGAATTTGTTAAGTATCAAGTAGCTTCCTTTACAATTCTCGGTATCACTAAAAAAACTAATTAAAAAAGAAACTGAAATGATTTCTTTTATATATATTTTTGAATATAATCTTTAATAGTATGTTATGCAAATGACGCTATTAAAATGCATTAAAAGTCGCGATATTCATACTAGTCTGTTTGTCGTTCTAGATTATGTCATTATAATGCTGTTATGACGTTGATCGCTGACCATAATTATAATGTACGCGATGTGATTGCTTTCTTGCTTATATTATACAGGTTGATGAAATGAATATTATCGATATATTTTTTAGTTTATAACTATGAGAAAATTATATATATTTTTTGTATATTGAAGTATATTTCTTGATAAAGTCAAAAAAATCAAAAACGAGATTAGTTGATTGGTATAAAGCAGATCTTAAAGTTTGTGAATGAAATATATATAAAAGTATTTTATAAAGATATTAATTTGACGACAACCAAGAGGATAGGTTCTAGAAGAAGTGACAAAAAAGTACAAATTTTATATTAATTAAAATCATAATGGTACTGCATTCAAAGAAATATAACTTGAAAAGATGAAAATGATACCCATTGATATTAAATAACGTTTGAAACATCCATAAAATAAAAATAATTTCAAAGTATTCTCGCCTTTATTATTATTAGTTATTGGTATTGAATTCCTGTGTATATATTTCGACTGGTCAAATATTGAGGCGTGTACAGTACGGTTAAGTTTTGGTCAATGAAGTTCCTTAGGGAAAGTCAGTGGGCGAGCGGGGTGTTGATTTGAGTGGGATTTACACACAGACATGTCTGTTAATATATCAATTCGTTCCTTAAACACGATATTTGGGAGGTCAATGACATTTTACGATTTTTAGTATTGAATAGACCGATTTAAAAATTACTTCATAGAGTTCCATAAAAGTATACTCGAAGGATTCCTCGCTTTGGTGTGGGTTTTAATAAATTTAATATGTCAAAATAGTGAAGCGGTTTCTATAATTCGAATAAAAAATTTGTGACATGCATAAAAAGTAGGTTTTATGGAATAAAAAATTAGTGACAGAAAAAAGGTAGATTTAATTGCTGCTCGAAAAGAAACTACTAAAAAGTTTATGTAATTTTTTTCATTATATATTTAAATGTTGTTATTCTACATATTTGTACAATACCTATAATATAGCCTAAACATATTTTAAGACGTTTTTATTATAAACGCAAATTATTCTTTGATTTATTACCGCGAAAGTTGGTTCGTTCATTAGCATTTCTCTTTGGTGTTTCATTAACACTGTGAGACTTTATATTTTTAAAAGTAAAGTTTTGCAGAGAGCTAAAATAAATATTTAATCTGTATTAAGAAAAATCGTACTATATATTTGAGTAATGTCAATGTCATGTTTTTTTTAAATTTCATAATTCGAACGATCGAACATGTTTACTGCCAGTATATTAAAACCTCCTTCATTATGCTGTGTAAACTTTCTAAGTATGAACTAGCAACACGTAACTTAATAGCTTAATTAGTTTTTAATAACGTTCGAATTGTCTGGGACATGCGACATCGACATGGGAACCAAGGACAGCCGGCCGCCACGTGTGAGTCTGCGGGGGTGATAGATGCACCGCGCCAGGGTTGACGGCGGGAGAAAGTTTTAAATATATACAACACAAAAATATATTCTAATATTACTTATATTTTATGAACATGTGAATCATAACTTATTGCTTATTGCTTTTCGTTTAATGTCATGTTATGTCACAATGCATATTAAATAAGTTATTACGTGAGTTCCGTTAACCCTAGTTTAGTGTTAACAAAGCTCGCTAAATCACCCGCAGAGCGCGTCGTCGCAGGCGTGTTCTTTGACGAGCCGCTATAAGTTTTATGACAAGCCGTTGGCGTCTTCCTGAGTTCGCCATTCCGCGTTCCCATACTGCTTCGACATCGTCCGACACTGAAGTCGAACCTCCGTCCCGTGTCTGAGCTCCTGGTACTTTCTTAACTAAAACTGAGACTTTTCTCAGTAATTTGGGGAAACCGTCGTTTTCTTTTTGTTTCATTCGTTCGTTGTAAATTGATGGTTCAACCGACAGTGGTGCTGGTTTATAGTCTCCCTTAAGAAAGAGCGAGTACTTCGGCTTCAGCGTTCATGACTTGTTAGTAATGTAGCGCTTAAACCAAGAAAGTCTACTATTATTGTAACTGCAAATAACATTTATGACGTAAATCCTAAAGAAAATTGGCCGTTTTCAAATCTCTATTGCAGTTGTTGAGTGCTCAAGTAATAATTTCATAGCTTCATATCGTATTAATCTGCACTATCCAAATTTTGATATTAATCTTGTTATCAAAATATAGGATGCTTTAACAACTGGTGGAATAAAATCTCACTAGATAGAAGTAAACATATCCAAATATAGCGAGAAATAAAAAGTGCATAGCAATGGTGACCTTGTGCCTTGGACGAGTATTTAAAGTTGTTGGTTTTAAATAAATAAACTTTTATTTAATTTAAAAATGCAGTGAAGTCACGCGATATAGTACTTACTATTATTATCAGAGGCAGTTATTTAATGCCTTGTTCCTTTCATTGTCATTTATTCAGCAAAAAAAAGTATAACAGGCCAACAACCTTTGTGCGGGATATTAACCGGATAGCGAATTTACATGAATACGACGGCGTCCCGCTCCGTAGACGTTTTGGAGGCCGACCCTATTTACTCCTCAGGTATTATGATGTCCTGGTAGAATTTACAAGATCTGTTACAAGGACATTTTGAATTTGGAAGAATAATTACAAAAAAAAAATTCTTTCGTTTGCTCTCCTCATGTTTATTAAAGTTTTGAATTACATTGTATTATGGAATTTGGACAGTCGTTTCTCGATTTGTTAAGATTAAAAATAAAGAGCAATAAATAATTTCGATTGAACAGTTTTTATGTATTTTGTAGCTGCTAACCTTTATTTTTGTTACGATTCTAAAGAGGAACAGGATTGATTTAAAACTAGTTGTAAATTAAAGACATAATAAAAGATCTCGGTTTTATCTTCAACATGTACATACATAATTTAAAATAATGTTAACACTGACCACTGAACACTGTACAATGTTTTGGTTTTCTTATTCGTAGGCCATAAATAAATACTTTGAAACTGATAAGTGCTTTATCCTTGGGAAATGTCGGCTGTTGAACCGATATATATTCAGAAGATATTATCTGTATAATCCATAAATTACATTAAAAATAGTATTTGAAGGTTATTGAGTCTAATAAATACATTTGTGCTATAAAAATTTTACGTAGTTAAACCGCCTCCTATAATCGGAATATTTTAAACAATGGGAGTTGGAACTAGAGCCTGGACAACAAAGTTTTCACCAACTTTTCCCATTCGCCGACATAACCTTGCTCAGAATCGATTAATATATATCTGTCTCTATCGCACAATGAAATATCTTTCAGCTCCGTTCGAGTTCTGTTCGCCTGGTACTTGCCGGGCGTTGGAGCACCGCACGCCCTCACGGACTCACATGCGCAAATAAATGCATGCACACATCGCATACATACACCACCATATATACAAACACACACTCTTGAATTATCTAGTTATAAATAATATTGTAGCTTTTAATTTAGGAAAAAAAAACACCATTGACAAAATCGTAATTTGTGCAATTTGTTTGCATAATTAATTAGTTGTCAATCAAAGTTATAAAAAGTATGAGGGTCCGTTATATCAGTCCCGTTTTTGTGGTTTGCTTTATACATACCAGAACCGACCACTTTAAAATAGCTAATTATGTTATGTAACAGTATAAAACCACAGATCCGACGGGATCTCGTTACAGGATTAACAACGTGCCTATAAACCATTATAATACTCTCGTTAATTTGCGGTTTTATTTGTAATTAAGGATCACTTTTTTCGAAACTGGCAGATTAAATGAACTACGTGTTACTTATGTTTTCCTAGTATGGTACTTTTTTTTGTCAAAAAAAAAAATAGTTCGAATTTCGTATCGAATAAAAAGTAAATTAATTAATTAATTGTTAATTATTATTACCATTGTAAACGAACATCGATTAAGTTAATCGATTTTTAAATTTTGTCAATTATTTAATCATATAATATTTATATATGTATGTACACATATGTATAAATGCAAATAATAATTAATTTATTGTGAATTGGACGATGTCGCTTGAGTCACATCCTCAGAACCGGACTGACAACAAAACAGACAACGGCTGAATATTATAATAAACTTTGTGCAGACTGACGAATGATCAACCAAAACAAGGCACCCATTGTTCTGCCCATGTATGGATTTCCGTCGTCACCAAAAATTACAAAGTTAGATTGGATGTTGACTTTAAAATAATATTGTAGCTATACCGATCGCTTTCAAACGGTTCGCTTCCAGCACAGGTATATCATTCACATGTCAAATATATTTTAGGACCAAATAAATAAATAACGAATAAAGAATACCCTATATTTTTAGCGGACGAGCGTACAGATGTGTTCAAATTCTTTCGTAACCCAACACCAGTTTTGCTCTCATTGTGCAACGACCGTCTGAAGAGGAAAATCGTAAATTTTTTTCTGTGTTTACTCCATCTTTATAGTTAGCTATAACTCAAATGTGAATATTTCAAAATTTATGTTGCATCTGTCAAAACAGTAAAAGCCAGACGGACATGTTGCGTAAACCAGTAAATAAAGCCCTAGGAGGCAAGTTCACCTAAATACCGTTCAATAACTGATCTAAAAGGTGTAATTGTTTCAGGAAACAGAAGCCGCCGGTATGCGGTACATTATATTAGCGAACTTAGTGTCTATTCGGGTTATAATTGTAGGGAATATTACTTCAGTAAACTTGATAAGCACGTGGCGTGGTCGATTGTTAGAGGTCAATACACATCGTGGGATAGTATGAGTATGGTGGTCAGTTTGAAATGAACTACAGGTGCTCCAGAATGATTCGAGTAACATTCTATAAGTTGAGTGTCTTAAAACAGAGTGTATGTTTTAAACATTATTGACAAATAAACGCCTGTTTTATACATATATTTTATACAATTTATAACTCTTTTTCATTACTTTGGTGTGCTTAAAGAATTTATATCTTATGTCGGGTATATTATACTATAATTAATAGAAAGATTTGCCTTTTTCATTGCGTGGAAGACATAACGGAATATAAAATGAATTTGATCTAGGTTTAGAGCTGAAACAGCGAGGTTTTAATGTGCTATGATATCATTGTGGATGTCATCAGAGTCGTTGACCGAGTGATGTTCTATTGTCAAAGTATTTATAGCTATGGTCTATCCAAAATTTGAAATCAAAACACTTTTATTATTTCGTACATATTATTTTCGCTTTCAAGCTTTATTATTCGGCGAGAATAAAATGTGTATACTATTTATGTAACACTAACAAGAAGTGATTTTGTAAATTAAATCATTCATTTTGGTTTACATTATAAGTGTAGATAGATATTTCAAATATTATTCTTAATTCCTTTGTGTTTCCTGAGTTAGTGAACGCGGAAGTGTTATACGGAAGTTATTTTCGGCTGCAATTAATTCTAAGCAACATTTTAACTTTCCGTGCGCTCATAAATAAGCTCGCGGGAACCGATATAGTAAAAATATGTAACTTGTTACTTAGTAGACTATCTGTAAATTTTGTATCTTCAGCGTTAACAGTTTTTCATGATATAATCGGGAATGACAAACGGTAAACTCTCCGTATGTAGTGTGACGATGCAAACTTCTACTAAGCATAACAGTAATTGATTTACCTTTAAAACACAAATTATTGCTTACTTTAGCAGTTAACTAACTGCTTGTCTGAATTTTTACTGAATCACCCTGATTAAGGAAGAAGCAACAAATATTTTTTATAATACTCCCCAATAATATAAACACTTGTACCAGGCTATCATAAAATGTCTGTAGCTTTGGGACTGGGAGCGAAAACCTTCGCGGATTGTTGTTTACGTTTTCGCATTTCATTACCGGGAGAGCAGCAGTCGTTGGAGGCTCGAACATTCAAAGAAGGTTGAATAATAAATCCTCCTTGGTAGAAAATAGAAGTAAAGTAATATTTAATACAAAATAGTCTGCTGGACAAACTTAAAGTTAATTAAGAATCGTGAAGTGATTTACATTGAATCAGTGTTCCACGTAAATGGGATACACATGTTGGGAACGTGTTCAACGACGTACATTTATAGTAACCTAATATTATACTGGTATAAAGCTGATACTTAAAACAAAACTTTATATTTTATATACGAAGTAAAATAAAAAATGTCTATGATGGTTACATAATGGCAAAATTCGTTTTCATACAAATAAAAAAATGGATTGTCTATTGTTCTACTAAATGCATATGTTTCTGTTTTTTTTTACCATTTTTATCCGTCCGTCTGTCTATTCCAGCTAATCTCTGAACCGAGTGGTTGATTTAATTGGGACTCTCACTGGCAATATATTTTGAAACAATAATTAACTTAGTCCACTTTTATTTTAGATATTTTATTTATATAAATAATAAATTATATTTACGTATTAGGAATACGGCTAGTACATATGTGAAATCATATCAAAATTTAATAAAATAAAATACGACAGCAAAAATACAGGTTAGTAGCACACTGTTGTTATAGAAAATATTTCAAACGATACTATAACTAGCAAATAGCAGATAATAAATAAAAAAAAACATAGCTATCGCCTCGCTTCCATAGAGCGCCGTCCTAACATCTTAATTGTATCTGTCAATGTATAGAGCATCTTCTGGATAAGATTAACGAGCCTGTTATCTCATAACACACTTTCACCGCTTCCTATGATCCATTCTATGAATACATTCCTTAAAATATCATTTGAATACCACACATTTTTATATTAATTAGGTTGCAGTGAAAACAAACTTTATTTGGAAAAAATTACAAGTCAGAAAACATACAATAAAATGTTAAATAGGTACATAAATGAACATTGTTATTATGTCGTAACCTTAATTCAATCAAAAATCATTTGTACGAATAAAATAATATTCATTTTATGTCCTTTTAACTACGAGTAGTTGTTGCTCTAGTTAAAAAACCATTTTTATTTAAAACAT